TTTAGCTGGAAGGAGATTGAATAGTGGCCCTCTGGTGTTCATACAGTGTTCCCTGATTGTACCTATGGCACCTCTACTCTTTACAGGGTCTATTGTGCATTTGTTGTCAAACCTTTGACCTCAGTACAGACGAGTCACAATAACGTGGCTGAAGATATGAAGACCAGATCACACATCAGAAAGTGGAGAAACGACTACGTTTCTGTCCGTCGTGGACCAAGTCGTGTAGGTTATTATCCAATAGGTTGTTATTTTGTTGTGAATTGTGGGAGAGAGAAGGGAGAAAGACAGGTTGAAAAAAAGGACAATATTTACCTGTGTTTACCTGTGGTTGGTTTCTTAGTGGTTGCAAGGGGAGGAGGGGTAATGAATGGATTGAGGAGTGGATTCATAGTGGATTCATCATAAGGGGGGGGGGTGAATTGTTGACAATACTGAAGATAGTTGTAGTGCTTATTGAAGGTTGAGTATCTTCAATGCTTGTATCTATTATACCATTGGAACATCTCCAATGGTATCCCCAAACCATTGAGGGATACCAAACTGAAGGCAGGTATCATGTTGTGTCTAATGGTGGTGTTTATGTTCTATTTCAGATTTATCTAAGAATAGGTTTAGTGAGGTGCCCGGGGAGGTGACGGACTACACATCTCTCGAGCAACTCAACCTCTACCAGAATGTCATCAAACACCTTTCAGACTCCCTGGCGGCCCTTCAGACTCTCACACACCTCATTCTCAGGTTAGTCTCCCACTCTACTACTACAAATTGAATTTACTTTTAATATTTTCCAATACTATGCATTTCTGAATTAGTAACTTTGGCTGCAATTGATAATACTTGAGTTGTTATAGATTCAGCTACTCGGAACAAGTTCCAAGTAGCACGGGCTATGGTGAGTCCGTAGTGGACTTACCTGGCACAGGAGCGGGGCAAGTAGCACGGGCTATGGTGAGTCCGTAGTGGACTTACCTGGCACAGGAGCGGGGCAAGTAGCATGGGCTATAGTGAGCCCCTAGTGGACTTACCTGGCACAGGAGCGGGGCAAGTAGCATGGGCTATAGTGAGCCCCTAGTGGACTTACCTGGCACAGGAGCGGGGCAAGTAGCACGGGCTATGGTGAGCCCGTAGTGGACTTACCTGGCACAGGAGCGGGGCAAGTAGCATGGGCTATAGTGAGCCCGTAGTGGACTTACCTGGCACAGGAGCGGTGCTGCATACTAGAGTGTAACTCCTCATGTTTATATCTTGTGATGCAGCCGGAACCAGCTGTCGGTGGTGCCTGGGTGCGTGTGCGCGCTCTCTGCTCTTCGCGTCCTCGATGTCTCTGGCAACCGTCTGGTGAGCCTCCCGGAGGAGGTGGGTCACCTCAGTAACCTCATGGAGCTCGACGCCTCCTACAACCAGCTCGCCCACCTGCCTCCTGCCCTCGGCGAACTCGACACCCTTCGCAGACTCAACCTTCGGAGGAACCTCTTGCAGACACTCCCTCCAGGTATGTTGACTTCGGTATTCCTTTGCCTTCTTCAGGTGGAGCCAAATGGTGAAAGGCGCATCGTACTTTGTTGCCCAAGACCTGTTTACATAATCCATTGATTATGTAAACAAACGTGAATGTGTTTGATTTCCTTATTTGAGAGAGCATCTTTTATATAATGTATGTCTGAGCTTTTATGCACATGTATTCATAATCATATTCGTATCTGGTATGGACTACAGTGAAAGCTTTATCAGTCCTGGTTAGGTGATTAGGAGTCCCCCAGGAAAGCTTTAGGTATCAATCATCCAATCATCACAGCCCCTTCCCCTCCCCCGCTCCCCCCTCTCTCTCCCTCCTTCTCTCCCTCCTTCCCTCCCTCCTTCCCTCCCTCCTCCCTCCCTCCCTCCCCCTCCCTCCCTCCCTCCCTCCCTCCCTCCCTCCCTCCCTCCCTCCCTCCCTCCCTCCCTCCCTCTCCCTCCCTCCCTCCCTCCCTCCCTCTCCCTCCCTCCCTCTCCCTCCCTCCCTCCCTCCCTCTCCCTCCCTCTCCCTCCCTCCCTCCCCCCCCTCTCTCCCTCCCTCCCCCTCCCCCCCCCCTCCCTCCCCCTCCCTCCCCCCTCCCCCCCTCCCCTCCCTCCCCCCCCCCTCCCTCCCTCCCTCCCCCCCCTCCCTCCCTCCATCCTCTCCTCGCCTCGCCTCCCTACCTCCATCCTCCCCTCCCTCCATCCATCCTCCCCTCCCTCCATCCATCCTCCCCTCTCTCTCTTTCATTCTTTTATTCATTCATTCCTTCATTCATTTTCCTTCCCTTCCCCTCACTGGCTTCTCTTCCTTCCATCTCTCTTCTCATCCCATCCCTTCTGCTCCCTTCTTTTTCTTTCCTCTCTCTTCACTTCTGCTCCCTCCTTCCCTCTCCCCTCTATAGTATTGCATATCTCAATTGTCACAAACAACAGTCAAATCATTCAGTAATTAATATTTTACCGTGCTTAAGATTGTCTGAAGAGTGTATTTAGTACAGGATATTGACCGTGTAATTAACAACTTTAGGAAGCGTCGAATAAATTTTGTGAGGAGAGAGGAGGAAGAGGAGGAGGATGATAATTATTAAGAGGATAAAGCAGAGGGAGAAGCTGCGTTGTTAATGGCGTGTGCATGACACATGACAGTGAGTCATGGTTGCTGCTGCTGCTGCTGCTGCTGCTTCTGTCTGTCTGTCTGTCTGTCTGTCTGTCTGTGGCCACCATCCCTCCTTGGAGGAGAGAACAATGAAGGGTATTTGAGGTCAAATAATGGAGGTGTTTGGAGTAGCAATAAATGGAAGGAGTTGGAAAACGAGAAAGCAGAGAAGATTGAAGAGGGAACTGCAGGAGTTTGATTTTGTCTTCCACTTACATTTCACTACATAATTGTATTCATTATTTTAGTAGAAAGTTGCGCTGGGCTTTAAAATGCGATTTCTTTCACAGCATTTACACCTGTTCCATGTATGTGTTACCCCAGTTCAGTCTGTAATCTTTGATTTATGATATTTAGGAGTTTTGATGATGCCGTAGATATTCTTGTTCAGTAAGTTTGTTTACTAGTGTGTGACATTATAGAGTTCTTCCCATTTGTTTTTGGTTATATGAAGGTGGTAAACTGCATTATTGTTTCAATTATTTGGTAAACTTTTCCAGTTTATCAAGATTTTCTCAGACGTTTTGTGTGACTTACGTATGTCTTTCAGAATTATGTTTCCTACGATTGGTATTTATGGATCTGAGTTGTAATCGTATAGCGACGTTACCCACAGAACTGCGCTTCATGTCCTCCCTCATCACTCTCACTCTCGACAATAATCCCCTCCAGCACCCGCCTGCTAATGTGAGTATTCCTTCAAAATCTTCTCGGAAAACTTTGCACCACCAGCGTTGATTTTAAGGATCTTTGTGCTCATGTATACTGTATTATAGATTAAGATGTGATTAGCTGTGTAGTATCTACATACAGTATACTGTGTTGGACGCCAGTTAGTCGCCCATGGACATACACATAGGGTGACCTAATACCCTCTTAAGCTAAACAACTTAATAAGTATCAACAACGTGTCAGCAGATTTGAATGCAATCTACTCTGCTGCAGACCACAGACCTCAGACACACCCCGGGCATCAGAGCGTCTACACGCGCTCCCTTACACACTCTACAAGCTAGTTGGTGGCCCGTGTAGAAGATAGAAGATATATATATATATTTATATATATATATCTTCTATCTTCTACACGGGCCACCAACTAGCTTGTAGAGTGTGTAAGGGAGCGCGTGTAGACGCTCTGATGCCCGGGGTGTGTCTGAGGTCTGTGGTCTGCAGCAGAGTAGATTGCATTCAAATCTGCTGACACGTTGTTGATACTTATTAAGTTGTTTAGCTTAAGAGGGTATTAGGTCACCCTATGTGTATGTCCATGGGCGACTAACTGGCGTCCAACACCGCTCGGCACGCTATCATCGGCGTCCTCGGCGATCTGCTTGAAAAATTTGAAAACCCTTGGGCGTGTACCTAACTAACGTTATATACAGTGATTTACCTATAGTGGCCGTAAACAAACAAGTTTTGAGACGTCCAACACCGCTCGGTCCCTTACACACTCTACAAGCTAGTTGGTGGCCCGTGTAGAAGATAGAAGATATATATATATTTATAATAAAACTAAGAAAAAGCAGTGGACGTTTGGTACTCCAATTCCTGCCCACAACCTAATCATTCTACAACAACATCGACCGATGTTACACTGGTTGGCAGCTTAGTGGGATTCACCCCTGTCCTCCAGCATCACAGCAGCGCACAGCAGCTCACAGCAGCGCACAGCAGCTCACAGCAGCACAGCGTCGCAGCAGCACAGCAACACAGCAGTGCGCAGCAACACATCAGCACAGCAGCGCACAGCAGCACAGCATCGCAACAGTTCAGCGTGCCTGACTCACCCAGCGTGCCCCGTGCCTTGTTCACCCGGCGCGCGCCCCTGACTCACTCACCCAGCGCGCGCCCGTGCCTGACTCACCGCGCGCCACCAGCTGACTCGCCGTGACTCACCGTGACTCACCGTGACTCAACGAGCCTTGGTGCCTGCCTGACGTCACCTTACCACCCCTCGCTGTCTGGCCTGACGACTCCTGCCGCACCTGACGTCTCCTGCCGCCTGACGACTTCTACCGCACCTGACGTCTCTTGCCGCCTCCCGGCGCCGACGACGCCGCAGCACGACGCCACAGCACGACGCCGGATCTGTGACGACCAGATCATCTCTGCCCTGTTGAACGGATTGCAGCCCCAGCAGCCTTCAGCTCTAGTTAAGTACCCTTTGTTATTTGTGTAGTAGAGTAAACTGTGGACTTTCGTGGGCACAATGTAAACTTACTTTATGGATAACCGATACTCGCTCAGGCCTCGCTCGCGCACTTACCCCTACAGTCTACGGTCTCGTTCACTATCGGAGAGTAACTTACTCTTAACTAGTGAGCTCCCTACGCTCGCTCACTTATCCTTAGCCAGTGAACTCCCAACCTCAGCTCTCGGTAGCTTATCCTCATTAACCTCTACAACCAGCAGCAACTCAGTAATCATGACTCAAGCCCTAAATTCTGCGGGTTCTAACTCGAACACCGTTACAGTCCTTACACAGTCTGTTGACATTCACCCGTTTAGTGGAAAGGATCCAACCCTCTTGGAGACATGGTTCGCTAGTGTAGAGGCTAGAGCGAGGGTACTGCTGTCACAGACGCAGGCTATATCAGTATGGCGACGTCCACACTTGACTATAAATCTGGAGATGCGTATCTCGTAGCAGGAACACCTGACTTAAAGAAAATTGTAGACTGGGAAGAATTTAAGAAATTCTTTCGTAGGAGATATATATCGGTAGTCGATCGTGATCCCTTTGGCATTGCTCGCCAATTAGCTACTGCGGTAATGCGTCCTGATGAAACACGCAACGCTTTTGCCACGCGTCTAGCTACGCTACAGGACTCACTGGAGAAAGACTTAATGGATGCAATGATAGACTCCACAGAAAGACTAAAGAACCGGGACTCTGCCGTTTTTAGTGCAAACAGCCTCCATAACCCTGTGAACGTTTTCACATGTTCTTTTCCTAGAAACGTTCAGACTCATGCTAGGTCTCTTCCACTCTCATATGGCCCCAGGTCATACTCCAGGACAGGCTCCCTTCAGTATACTCCGCGTCCTCAAACACCAGAATGTTTTAACTGTGGCAAACCAGGCCACCGTAAGGCAGAGTGCACATCAACCAACACTCGTTATCAACAGCATGCCAGACATAACAATGCAGGCCAATCTAACAATCACAACCGTTCTTATTGCACATATCACCGCAGACCTGGACACGACACGTCAGATTGCCGAGCTGCTCGTGCACCATTCTGCACTTACCACCAGCTCCCTGGTTATGACACTGCTGACTGTAGAGCTTGCCGCAGTACTAACCCCCAAGCTAACCACACTAGCCCTACTCCTCCTTCCCATAAGCAACTGCATGCTGCAACAACTAATCAGTGCCGACTGAGCCCTACACATTGTCCTGCAAACCGACTTACTGCTCATGTTAGGTATGCGACAATTGAGTCACGACACAGATCGACACCGTGAATCGCGTATGACAAACGGCACCATGATCTTCAAGGATAATGCAGACCAGACCTATGCTTCCCAATCGGGGCAAGGCATAGCAGCCTTCGTAAGCAGAATGACGTAGGAAAGTGAGACGATCTCCCTGAATACTCAGTGCCTACCCATGACAGGTTTAATATATTAGCAGAGGAGGATACCATACACCGCCTACACACTGACAGTACTCACATTCATGTGCTCCAAACACCACGTCGACCGCATCAGTCTCGTAATAACATGTTTAACGTGCCTAACAAGGACACAGAAGGTCCTCTGATTTCAGCCACTCTGAAGGGTCGATAAGTTAAAATTTTCCTAGACACAGAAGCTAGAGTCAACATCATCAAACAAGCCGCCTTGCTGGACGTACACAATGGACTCGACATACGCCAGCCATCTGTTTCCAACCTTGGTGGACTTACTGGAGGGATGACTCTGGCGTTAGGTGAAGCTGACACAGAGTTAATGGTCAATGACAGATCACTCGCCATGCCATGTTTAATAGTGGGTGATGTTCGGTTCCTAGGAGACATCTTACTAAAGCTAAACACTATGAGAGACTACCAAATTACTATCAATACTTACCATTGGGAAACAAATATTGGTGACACAGTAGTACCTCTTTGTAGTGTGTACACCATGGGACATGAGTTCACCAACCATAGGGACTATATCAGTTACATACAAGCCAGAGGAGACCAGGATACACATTACCAGTCACGCCCAAACAAACCCATCACTCAGTCACTTATTGACGCCAGTCCAGCGCACAATCACGCAGACTCACAGGTTGGTAAGATCAATGAATCTTTGCAAGGGGCTCCAGCGATTGTTCATTTCCTTGCTTGCCTAGAGTCCAACATCAATCAAGTCAGAGGCATCCTATACCATGACACAGTCCTACATTCTCACGCACTAACGAAGGTTATTGTCAAAATTCCTGGTATACCTGACCTAGATCACGTAATAACAGACAGTGACACATGTCAAATAAAGGGCACCTACATAGAACCTTCCTTACATCAGATACAGAACAACACTACTACTGTTTATGTTGCCAACGTCACCAATACCAACATTCACCTCGCATCAGGTGCACACATTGTAGACTTGACCCATTATTCATTACTGGTGAGAGTAGTGGATGAGGCCTCTACTGACCAAATAGTACATGCACTCTTTCACACGACAAATCGAAATCAGTTAGCGGTCTCACCTGAGCATCTTAGTCCCACTGACTTCCCTAACACCCAAGCTCAGTTACTGACCATCCTCAACAAGCATCGCAACGTTGTTGCTTTGACAGGTGAACAACTTAGACTGACACACCTCATTATTCACAAGATTCTTCTTGAACCTGGTACTCGACCGATTTATGTACCTGCATACAGATTGTCCCATTCTCAACAAGCTGTTGCAGACCGACTTATTGACGAGATGTTACACGAAGGTGTTATTGAAGAAAGTACCTCTCCATGGAATGCTCCATTGATTCCAATCTTAGTACCCAAGAAGGATGGCTCTTGGCATCCCGTCGTCGATTTCAGAAAACTTAACCAAGTTACGATACCTGATAGATTTCCACTTCCCGTGCTCACTGACTTATTGCAGAACATAGGTCAGAATAAGGTTTTTTCCACACTTGATCTATTGCAAGGATTTTGGCAGGTACTGCTTGACCCAGAAAGCCGAGAACTGACTGTTTTCAGTCCCTAATGGCCATTACCAGTACACCCGCATGCCTCTTGGCTTACGCAGCAGCCCTATTACTTTCTCTAGGCTTATGACAAACTTGTTCTGACAAATGATAGGAAATACCCTCATGGTTTACCTTGATGACATCATCATGTCCAAGGATATGCCATCCCACCTTCAAAGTTTAGAACAAGTCCTTCAGAAACTAACTAAAGTCAATCTGAAAATCAAACTTAGCAAATGTGCCTTCATGAAAAAGGAGATAAAGTTTCTAAGCCATCAGGTCACCTCACAAGGCATCACCACTCTAGACTCAAAGATAGTCGCAATGAAGAACTAACCTGTCCCTCGTAATGTTGAAGCTGTACAAAAGTTCATAGGCCTAGCAGGTTTCTACCGCCATTTCATTGCTGGTTACTCAATGATTGCATCTCCTCCCTTATTCACCTCCTTAAGAAAGGAATTCCGTTCGATTGGACAGCTGATCAAGAGAAGGCGTTTCAAACACTTAAAGAGAAAAAGGCTTTGATATTTTTTATATCTCCCATTCTCAAGTTCCCAGACTTCTCCAAACCGTTTGTTTTAGTCACCGACGCCAGTAATATTGGGCTAGGAGCTGTACTATCACAAACTAGCGACTAGCAACATGCCATTGCATATGCAAGCCGTTGATGCCTCTCCATGGCAGAAAAGAATTATTCAACAACAGAACGCGAAGCTTTAGCTGTAGTGTAGGCTCTCAAACATTTCAGAGACATCTACAACAACACTGTCCACGTACTGACAGACCACCAAGCCATCATTCCCTTGTTCATAGACAAGAACCCAATAGGCAAGATTGCCCGTTGGTCCCTCACAATACAAGAGTTCCTACCCACGTTTGGATATCTACCTGGCAAACATAATGAAGTTGCCGATGCCCTCTCTTGCTACGTCGCTCCTGTTCAGGTTGACTACCCTTCATTACACTTGCAAGATGTAGAAATAGCACAACAACAAGACCCAATGTGGGCACCGATCATAAGCTTTCTAATGAACCCGAACACGACTCTTACAGTTAAGCCTCCCGTGCCGCTCAAGAAACTAGTACTCTTCAATCACGTGCTCCACCGCAAGGTTATGCTTAGATCTCCTGCCAGACTGATATATCAACTTGTTATTCCTGCGTCGATAGTTCCTATCGTGTTAAAACTTGTCCATGACGCCCCACACAGTGCGCATCCTGGCAAGGACCGCATCGTAAAACAGGCTCGTCTTCAGTACTACTGGCCCAAAATGGCAAAACAGATTGAACGTCATGTGGATCAATGTCTAACCTGCCTAGCTCACAGAGGCCATGTTGCTGGCTCGAACCCGATTCAGACTTACCCTACTGCTGCTTCGGGCTGCTTCTTGGGGGTGGACTAATGACACTAAAGCCCCTTGATAACCTCAAGATAACGGATCGGGACCGTGTTTCTATGGATTTGTTAACGAATTTTGCTGAAACTTCCAGAGGTAATAAACATCTTCTAGTTATGGTAGATAACTTTTCTAGATACTGTGAACTGGTTCCAATTCCAAACAAAACTGCAGAAACAATAGCTAGTGCATTTCATGATAACATAATTTGCAGGTATGGTCCACCTAGGGTTATACTCTCTGACAACGGCCTGGAATTCAATAATTCTGTTCTGGAACAACTGGCTAAACTGTACAACATCAAAAAGTGTTATATAATGCCTTACCAACCGGCTAGCAATGGCCTTGCAGAAAGAACTAATAAAAACGTACTTGACGCACTCAGAGTAACAGTCAATCGGGACAGTCACAAATGGGATGAACTTATGCCAATCGTCCAATGTTCGATAAACTCCTCTGTCAACTCCTCCATAGGAGACACACCACACTTTGTGCTATTTGGGACAGACATGAGATTTCCTAATGCCATCATCTCGCCGCCCGGGTCACTCTACAACTATGACGACTATGTAAAGGTAAAACGGAGAGATACTCAAGGAGGGTCAAGGAACATCTCTCTAAAGCTACTGACGATTTCACGCGGATACAAAACGCTCATGCTAAACCTACGAGAATAGGACCTGGATCTTTAGTAATGATCCTCAACCAGCGACGAGATGGTCCCATGTACAAACTGACTGAGAAGTTTCTTGGTCCTTACAGAGTTCTTGAGCATATCACAGGTAATAAGTACAAGCTGGAAAACCTAGCCACTGGAGAACAAGTACATGAGCATCTCAACCACATGAAATTAGCCCGTCTGACTGATGAAGATGACACCCCGACTCCTGTCCCTGACAATGTACTGTGTGACCCTACCACTGTGACACCCACTTCGGTCTCAGACATGCCCAGCGATACTACCCCACCACGTACTCACACATACAATCTTCGGTCCAGACCTGTTATTTCGACTGTACACTACCAACAGTCTGATGATTCCTCTTCGTGTGACTGTGGTGTTCCAGTCTGTAAGGGACAATGGATGCGTTCTATCTGCTCCCCTCTCCCTGCTTGTTCATACATGGCAGAGGGAGACTACGTTCGTGATGGACTAGCACCTGAGAATTCATAGTTTTATGACTAGATTTAAGAGTGATTACAACATTCGTTTCGCACCCCTCGGTTCAATGTATATAGACCCTTCCACCTCGGGTATCTTCGTTCGTAGTTTATTGATCTTGTCGTGTCTCTATACACTATGTAGGTCCTAGTGTTCCTGCCACGTTCATGCTCTCCATATTTTAGTGGAAATGTCGCTTATTCTATGTATTGCCATGTAATATATTGTGCCTACGTTAGTGTCTGCCGTTTATAATCTACTTAACAGGTAACACTGTGGCTGAGCATCATGAATTCTTACGCGCAACTTCTGGTCCGCTGACTACCGCTACCGCCTCTACCTGCAGCCGGACCTCCTGCCTCCAGTTGTGCAGACATTTAGCTAGTTAGTCATGATGCTCCATGGATAGCTTAGTTTAAGGATTATATTTAAGCATTGTACTCATTATTCATGCATGTCCGAGACGGTGTTGGACGTCTCAAAACTTGTTTGTTTACGGCCACTATAGGTAAATCACTGTATATAACGTTAGTTAGGTACACGCCCAAGGGTTTTCAAATTTTTCAAGCAGATCGCCGAGGACGCCGATGATAGCGTGCCGAGCGGTGTTGGACGCCAGTTAGTCGCCCATGGACATACACATAGGGTGACCTAATACCCTCTTAAGCTAAACAACTTAATAAGTATCAACAACGTGTCAGCAGATTTGAATGCAATCTACTCTGCTGCAGACCACAGACCTCAGACACACCCCGGGCATCAGAGCGTCTACACGTGCTCCCTTACACACTCTACAAGCTAGTTGGTGGCCCGTGTAGAAGATAGAAGATATATATATATATTTATAATAAAACTAAGAAAAAGCAGTGGACGTTTGGTACTCCAATTCCTGCCCACAACCTAATCATTCTACAACGACATCGACCGATGTTACAACTGTACAGAATAGTATCTTCTTGTGATACATTTCAGCTTTGCACGAGAGGGCGTGTTCATATTTTTAAGTGGTTAGAGATGGCAGCAGTGAAGGAGGACAAGAAAAGAGGCATTTTAACAACGGAAGCAGAGTTCCGAAAACTGCAATTGCGAAAGCCAACTTCTTGCACAGACTTCAGGTATGGATTAGATTTGCATTTGCTAGACAGTTTAAGTTTCTCTTACTAACTGGTGGTATATTTGTTGTCTTCTAGTAATGCAGGCTTGCACAGTTAGTTTCAAGGACAATGGTATGGTTGAAACATTTTCTTTTTTCCTCTGGCTAGACCTCAAATCGTATTTGCTTGTACATAGGGGTACAGTATAACATTTCAGCAACAACTCTTAATTTAGTATATTTTGATGAAGTCAGCTCTCTTAATGCCTGATCAGTAAAATAGGCTGATATATTATTTTGCTTCCAAGCACTTGTATTATTATTATTGATTTTACATTTTGTATGTAGTGTATTTTTGTAGCTGAAAACTCATTGTTATATGTAAATTAACTGAACAAAATGTCTTTACTTTTTAGCACATAATTCCCCTAAAAAGATTATTCAGTTATGGGTCCTCATATTGGCTAATAGAACTTCACTGAAAAGTTCACAAGTAGAAAGAAAACGAATTAGAACAATGATGAGAGAGAATGTAATTAGGAGTATAAGTGTGTGTGTGTGTGTGTACTCAGTTGTGCTTGCAGGGGACTTCAGCTCTTTGGTCCTGCTTTTCAACCATCAGTCAACTGGTAATTACCTAAGGGTAGTTAACGGATGATAACTATGCTCATGGTGTCCCATTTTCTCAGTATTATCATATAAAGCGTTGAAACTATTGACGGTTTTGGCCTCCACCACCTCACTTGTTCCAACTGTTTACTACTGTGTGTGTGATGTGTATGTGTGGGTGTGAATGTGTGTGTAGTGTGTACGGCGGACCTTTGATTGTATCATTAAAATGGGTTCCTGCACACTAAATAAGATGTGAGAAATATCTGTAGAGACATTTAATTTATGGATAATTGTAAAACCTTCAAAGTGCAGTACAGTATTCAAGACTTAACAATGGTGTATAGAACATATACCTACCTTGTGGCTACCTTGTGTAGCTTCTGGGGATTAACAACCCCCCGGCTCGGTCTCTGACCAGGCCTCCCGGTTTGTCGTTTGGTCAACCAGGCTGTTGGACGTGGCTGCTCGCAGCCTGACATATAAATCACAGCCTGGTTGATCAGGTATTCTTTGGAGGTGTTTGTCGAGGTCTCTCTTGAACACTGCGAGAGGCCGACCAGTTATGCTCCTTATGTGTAGCGGGAGAGTGTCGAAAAGTCTTGGGTCGTTGATGTTGATAGAGTTCTCACTCAGTGAACCTATTGCACCTCTGCTTTTCAACTTCAATTATATTGCACATCCTGCCATGCCTACTGGTTTCATGTAATGTTATTTCTGTGTTCAGATTTGGAACCAGTCCCTCTAATATCTTCCACGTGCAGATTATTATGTACAGTATCTCTCACCTGCGCTTTAGAGAATACACGTTTAGAACTTTTAATCGGTCACAATGATTAAGATGACTTGTAGAGTGGATTCTTGCGGTAATGGATCTTTGCATGCTCTGCAGGTCAGCAATTTCTCTGGCTCTGAATGGGGGCTTTTAGAGTGCAACAGTATTCCACCCTAGAGAGCATCAGTGTCTTAAAAAGTATTATCATTAGTGTGGCATCCCTTGTTGAAAGGTCCTTGTTATCCAACCTGTCATTTTTCTTGCAGTCATGACAGCTACTTTATGGTGTTCTGTAAAGGTAATGTCTCTGACATTTTTACTGCTAGGTCCTTTACATTGCTTTTTCATTCTATAGTGTGATTTGATTCTGTTTTATATATGGTTTCTGTTTAAAAAAAGAAATTCCATAGCACAGGAGCTAGAACTTATTTTCATTAAACAAGATATTATTATCTATGGCCCATTGAAAGATCCGATTTACATCCGATTGGAGGTTTGCCGTTTCCTCTATATTGTCTACTCACATGAGAATCCTAGTGTCATCTGCAAATGATGATAGTGCTGTAGTTTGTATCCTTGTCTATATCTGATGTTAGTGTGAGAAAAAGTACCGGAGCAAGTACGGGACCTTGGGAGGGGACTCTGAGCTTTTCACAGTACCTGTAGATGACGATGATTTTACTGTGTTGACTATTACACTCTATGTTCTGTTTATTAGGAAGTTAAAAATCCTTTTCCTACTTTGCCAGTAATTTCTTGTGTGCACATTTTGTGCCCAATAACACCTTGTGTAGAAACACCATTTGTTGAGAGCTTTTACAAAAGTCTGTGATATTACATTACACCAAAAACCTAGTGTAATGGTCAGCACTGTTGATTCACACCCAAAAGGTGTGAATTTCCGAGTTCAATTCCCACAGCAGGATAAAGGATACTTGAGCAAGCTTTCATTCACCTGATGCCTTTGTTTGCCCCAGGGTTTTGAAGGGGCCTCGTAGCCTGGTGGATAGCGCGCAGGACTCGTAATTCTGTGGCGCGGGTTCGATTCCCGCACGAGGCAGAAACAAATGGGCAAAGTTTCTTTCACCCTGAATGCCCCTGTTACCTAGCAGTAAATAGGTACCTGGGAGTTAGTCAGCTGTCACGGGCTGCTTCCTGGGGGTGGAGGCCTGGTCGAGGACCGGGCCGCGGGGACACTAAAAAGCCCCGAAATGATCTCAAGATAACCTCAAGATAACCCAGTAGTAAATAGGTACTGTAGAGTCGGGCAGCTGTTGTGGGTTGCATCTCAGGGAAGGTGAACCTAAGAAACATTCTCTCATCAACAGTGGGAAACCATGAGATAGCTTTACAATAGTTTGAAAATACATGACAAAAATCATGACATAAGGAGAAAAAATAAATACTGTATTCTTGTCACCAAAATTCAAATTCATGTATATAATTAAAAGTACAGTATTTTACTGACATGCCATTGACCTTGAAAAAGCTTTTGTTTAATTACAGCTCTAATAGTGCACTATTGTTAATTGCCACACTAACTACATTATATTCTTTGATGCTTTTTGTTTCAAGAATTAATTTGTGGCACCATATGTTGAAAAGTATCTGGGCATTTATTTGTTTTGTGTGTATTTTGCTTGTTGTTTTTGTGAAAGACCAGTGTCAATAAATACGGTAGCTGTGTGTGTGTAAAATCACTAAGAATTGAACACGTGCTGGGGCCAAAAATGTCAGCACAGTACGTAGTTTCAGAGCATTATATGAGAGTGCTGGGAAGACGGGACACCACGAGCATACCTCTCATCCTGTAACTACACGTGACGAATAATATGAAAATGTATAACAACAAAGGGAAAGAGACAGGAAATGATTTGAACAGCTTCGTGTTAATCAACACATAATTATTAAAAAAATGTATAATGAATGCAATACGGTACTAGAATATACTGCACAGGCAGGAAAAAGGAAAGTGACGTGCGAGGTTAGAAACATTGTCTTCATAATATTGGTCCATGGTCGTTGTATTAAAGGTTTAGGGTCAATGGGTAATGAAGAAAATTACAGTTGTCCCCCTTTAAGAGTAAATGTATTGAAGGCCTTATCAGGTATCATTACATTACATCAGATATCATTATAGATATCAAGATTCACTACTAATGAAGGTATTATTTAACTTATTTGTGGGGCAATTACTTCAGAACTTTTGCCTCAGGTTAATAGATGATTTGTTAAGATGATGTGCCCAGTGTGGATTGCTGGGGGGTGGATACCTTAGTTTGTTTCGGTCCGTCCTGAACCATTCTCAAGTCGATTGACTTGAGAATGGTTAATATATTGAGAATGGTCAAATTAAATATAAACTTTTAAATTTGACGATAAAAAAGAATTATTTTTGGGAAAATCATGTAGTTAATTATAAGAAATTAACATTATAATGTTTATTCTAAAATATATCTCATAGATGATATTTATGTTAATATGTTTTTGTAGTACCCGTACAGTATCAGATTCGTTCACCCGCATAGTATATTTGAAGAGTAGCTGACATTTTTGAGAGTTTATTGTGTGTGGTGGTGGCGATGTCCAGGGTTCTGCAGCTGTGCCCTAAATGCAACCCGTTCTCGCAAATTTAATAAGTCAATATTGACTTATTAAATATGTGCATAGGTGACATACTTAACATAATAGTTTCCCTTGAAAAGCTTCATAGAAAACACCGACCTTTCCTAACCTACTTAGTATGTTAAGATAAGCATCTTATTGCTTCGTAATTACAATTATTACCTAACCTATACCTATAATAGGTTAAGTAACAATTATAATTACGAAGCTATAAGATGCTTATTTTACCATACTAAGTAGGTTAGGTAAGGTCGGTGTTTTCTATGAAGCTTTTCAAGGGAAACTATTATGTTTAGTATGTCACCTATGCACGCAACTAATAAGTCAATATTGACTTATTAAATTTGCGAGAACGGGTTGCCTAAATGACTACTGTACTGCAGTTATTTGCTTTTGTTCATAAATACGAGTTGGGAGAAGATGATGTTGCGTGCTATAGGATTCTATGGTGGCTACTGCAATCATTTCCTGTTGGCAAGTATACTTAAGGTATTATTTGTGAGCTCTGGTAACAGCTCAAATCTTGATCATAAATTGTGTGCGTGAGAGAATTTTTTTGATCCACATTTAGATATATTATTACATACATTTAATGGCTTAATTCTGTAACAAGGTTTTTGTTACATAATGTATACGAGTATCAGTATACTGTTACAGTAGTAATATGATGTATATAGTACAGCATTTACAAACATTGTAACTTTCGTATGATTAACTGTGAGAAGCACAGTTAACTGTGGCAAGCCTGGCCTCGGGCCGGGCTTTGGGAGTAGAAGAACTCCCAGAACCCCATCAAGCAGGTATCAAGCACTCTTGAGAACTGAGAGGAATGCTACTTTAATCCTAGGGCCGAAATTCATCAAGCAGTTACACAAGTACTTAGGAACTTGTACGTCTTTTCTGGATCTTGGGCAGCATTGTCTACATTTATTAGACAGTTTACAAGCATTGAAACTTACCAATCAAATGTTGTTCTTGTTATAAACATTCTCCTAGTGCTTCAGAGCTCATATATCTGTTTAATAAATGTAAACAAAACTGCCAAAGATGGAGAAAAGATGTACAGGTTATCTTGAGGTTATCTTGAGATGATTTCAGGGTTTTAGTGTCCCCGCGGCCCGGTCCTCGACCAGGCCTCCACCCCCAGGAAGCAGCCCGTGACAGCTGACTAATACCCAGGTACCTATTTTACTGCTAGGTAACAGGGGCATAGGGTGAAAGAAACTCTGCCCATTGTTTCTCGCCGGCGCCCGGGATCGAACCCGGGACCATAGGATCACAAGTCCAGCGTGCTGTCCACTCGGCCGACCGGCTCCCGGTCGTAGAACTTGTTTAACTGTTTCATGAATTTGGCCCCGGGACTATGCTCAAGTATAAAGTATAATTGCTGGTTAGTCAGTAAAAGTACTGTGGAGGGCTTAATAACCCTACCGTGGTTCATAGGCCTTAACCCTGTTTAAAAGTACAGTACTATATCATGGTACGAAGGACAAAAATTAGTTAGCATATAGCGATTAGAGCAGCGTGAGAGTTAAGCCCAACACCAAACCAAGCACTCTTAATACAGAGAAGGTACTTGATTTCAGGCTTGTAGCTTGTAGTGGGCTGCCATCATTTCCTGGTCTTTGTCTGTTATAACCCTTGCTTACAAGCTCTAATGCTGTAGTTTGAGGTGTACAACCTTGCATTGCTGCTGGAGAATATGTTGTGTCTGCGCTTGAAAGATGAATGATACTTGGTTATTAAAGTTTCAGTATAGGTGCCAAGTTTAACCTGTATATTGTCTTACATGTCTTTATTATATTTCAAGTTGGCAAGTTGAATAGAAAACTGTCAGAGGTGAATTTGAAGCCTTCAGCATACATAAGGCAGCATAAATAAATAACAATGGAAATAGACATATTTTATGCCTCAATTTTTAGGGAGCATGAGGACTCTCCGTCAGAGGTCAGCAAGACAAGTTTAGATGGTCTGGAGTCCACTCCAGCCAACGTGGGGTGGTCACTACCTCTACTGCATTTTGTGGTGGCCGTGGTAGTTGTAGTACTTGTAGCCTATGTAAGTTGTGAGGCATGTTAGCGTGTGAGCGTGTGTAGAGCAACGGCTAACTCCGTAACTGCAATAGCAACTAATTCGGGAAGGGCTTGGGCCAAGCAACAGCAATTTTCAGGTGTTGTATTTTAATACGACACTCTAGATGCACTAGAGTGTCGTGTTAAATTTTGGATACAGACTAGTTATATGAGATTTTAAAAACTACTATGTACAAATTCATGAGTACTAATACTGTGAGGTTGCTGGTGTTGGCCTAGTAATGGCAGAACGGGAACCTGGAATGGCAAAAACTAATACTTCTTAATTTACTTTCTTGTCTGCATAATTCGGGATGATAATAATGCATCTTTAAATCTTTGTTAAGGAATTCTTTCTTTATTTTATTTAGCGCGGCAGTTATGGACACTAATATGCAGTATAAAAATTTATTAAATTGCTAGCTATATAAGTATAAATATGACATTGTCTGACCACAAAGGAAGGATTAAGACAGGAATTTCCTTAAGTACTTTTGTATTTAATAATACACCTTCAGAAGGATGGATTTATAGATCAGTGTGGGTGGATATATAGGCAGGAAAGAGGTGAGATACAGTGTGTCTAATGGAATACTAATACGGTAATATTGAGACAAATGTGTATCAATGATCCTACACAAATCACCCTTTAACTGATCAATCAAAAAAGACTAAATTATACAAACCACTGCTAATGTTCAAATTACCTGATTTTGTAATCTGTATTACAGCAGATTCAATAATGTTCCTATTGAAAATGATTTTACAATAGGAACATTATTGAATCTGGTGTAATACAGATTACTAAAATCATGTAATATGAACATTAGCAGTGTTTTGTATAATTTAGTCTTTTTTTATTGATCAGTTAAAGAGCAATTTGAGTAGGATCATTGATACACAATAATCTCACTAATACCTTATTAATATCTCATTATTTAATTAAAGACATTGTACCTTAGCTCTTTCTTGCCTATATATCCACACCCACTGAACTGTAAATCCATTCTTCTGATGATGTATTATTCAATACAAAAGTCCTTAAGGAAATTCCTGTCTTAATCCTTTCTTCGTGGTCTGACACTGTCATATTGTTCATCACGTGTTAATTTCTTCGTGATTTACACACAAGTATAAATATATTATAATTAAACTTTATTGATTAATCAGTTACATATTTCAGTTCTCAACTGGTATTTTTGTATAATTTTGTTATTTACATATTGTGACAATGTAATACCGTATTTGCCGGCGTGTGAGACGCACTTTTTTATTTTGAAATGTATAAAAAAATTGCCATGCGTCTAATGTGGCCTTATTATGGATGTGAGCCCGAGCGCCATAGGCAAGGGAGCCCGACGAGCATACTGGGTAAGTTCGCTAAGCACTAAAATCATTACTAATTATAAAATATTGAAAACAAGCCGAGTTATAACAGTCTGCTATCACAAACTTACGAAAAATTACTTACGATGTACATCGGCAGTTACGACAGAAGCTCACGTCGTCTCACCACCTTACCCAGCATATATAACCCACACCTGATATGTCATACATTATTTAACGACTGTGTTACCTTTAAGAAACATTTATTCATTATCTAAATGAAAAATGCTCCAAGAAATTTGAAAGGAATGTTAAACTTTCATCTGCTAGTCAGCCATTTGCAATGAGTGAATTGACAACAAAACCATAGTGCTGCAATGATGCGCCACCACCGGGAGTGCCGCCCTGGTGGCCTGTCGCGGTAACAGAAAACATCACGTCCAGAAACACAAGCTTCACATCCTGTATACTAATTCTCTTGCTCAAAATATAAACAACTGTACAGCTGATCTTAGAGGAGGTAAGAGTTGGGGGTACAAAAACCACTTTAAAATATCTTTCAATAAATGTATGATGAAACATACTGAAACAGTTTTTCCACAAAATACCCTTGTAAAACAGGGATGCGTCTTGTTACCTTGAGGTTATCTTGAGATGATTTCGGGGCTTTAGTGTCCCCGCGGCCCGGTCCTCGACCAGGCCTCCACCCCCAGGAAGCAGCCCGTGACAGCTGACTAACACCCAGGTACCTATTTTACTGCTAGGTAACAGGGGCATAGGGTGAAAGAAACTCTGCCCATTGTTTCTCGCCGGCGCCTGGGATCGAACCCAGGACCACAGGATCACAAGTCCAGCGTGCTGTCCGCTCGGCCGACCGGCTCCCATGTGCGAGAGTGCGTCTTTTACGCTGGCAAATACGGTAATTTGAGTACTGGCGGTGAACTGAAATGAGGTGTAGAAATGTTGTCTATCCTTGTGTCTGTCCACTGGGGGTGTTTATTAAGCCTTGCGTTAAATAGTCACCAGGGGAAAACTGGCCCAGTATTCAGTATATCCAGCACCTTCAGTCTTAAGTTGTAATTGTAACGATGAAATGATGCCATTGATGTGGGTTTTCTGTATCTGATGACTGTTTGGCGGCCGTTATCCTTTTTCCCTTCATAATTGGCTTAGCTTTTATGTACTATGCAGGGATGGACCATTTGACAATTTTCTTTCTGTAATAGCAAATTGAGGTATTTTACCACTAAAAGTTTGTCCTTAAATATAATCGCCATTTTGAAAAGTTTGATATCTTACTGTTGAACAAAAATCAATTTTAATTCCAAAAGTACAGTGCAGTATGTAAAATGTAATGAATTAATTGAGGCAGAGTATGACAGTTGTTCCTCAATTGCAGAATATATATATATTTTTCTGCATGAATTTCTTCTACATAATTCTTTTAGCACTGTCCTGGGGTATTTTTTCATTTCAGATTTGTTAATTTTCTCGTAGTCTTCAAAATGAATTTGGTTCAAGATGTGATGAATATCTGTAACAATTCAAGTTGTTATATATTTGTATCTGTCTGATTTAGGTTTGTGAACGGGTTCTTCGACCCCCGGCACAAGCGTAGTACGATGGATAGTGGGTATAGTACGTGTGAAAGTCTCGACCAGAGATGGTCGCAGGAGAGTCAAGAGGTATGTTATCACTAATATATCTTCTTAATTTTGATTCTGTTTATTCTGTTGCAAAACATAGTTGTAATGAACCAATCCACAAGGGCCGTGACGAGGGTTCGAACCTACGTCCGAGCCCTTGTGGATTTGTTCATTTGATGCATCATGCTATTGTGATTCCTGTGTGTAATAGTTGTAATTTTTGTAAATGTTTATCTTATAAATAACAATACAGTACTGTAGTTTTACTACAGTGAAAATATACATTTTTTGACTTTACATTAGTGGTGTTCTTTTTTGCTTTTAAGAGCATGGAATATGAAGATCCACGTAAACTGGCCGTTCGGGCTGCCGCATGTACCAAGGAGCAACGACAAGAACGAGGACGTGGTGGCCCTTCATCTCGGCCAGTCAACGGCATTCCTAATGGAGTAGTTAGCCCAGGAGTGAATGGCTCTCAGGCATCCGTTGAGCAAGGAGTAAATGGGTCATGTTACGGAACACAACAAGTTGGGGAGCACACGACCAGCGGTTTGTCAACACCAAGCACGCTGAGTCCGGGTGATGGATTCAGCTTGGAGGATGAATTTAATAAGGTAAAGTACTGTGAATAAATATTGAAGCTATACAAAGACATTGAACTTCCATCCCCTGATCTCCTTCGTATGGCCTCCATGTTTATTCATAGATTCTTAACTCTCTTATCTTCGGGTGTTCTTTCACCATCACAACCACATCTCTACCCTTGCTAGTTTATCTGTGTCGTCTCCAAATTGAGTAGCCCTTTTGGGCTATAATATTATATATAATAATATATAATATAATATTTTTAGCAGTAATTATTGTAGCATTCTTAAGGGTAAACAAGTCTTGAACAAGAAGAAAAATATTTACACACAAAGTAGGAAACTATCGCTAAGAATTACTAAGTCATCGGACGCTAATTTTGAGCATGTCGTCTATGACATATTTGAGTGTTATAATGTAATTATTTGTCTTTTCAGGCCCTAAAGTTGAGACAGGACTATGAGAATGTTTATGTGAATGATCATTCGCCTGTGAAAGACAGCCAAAGGTGAGTATCATTCATATGTTGTTGTGGAAGGGTGAGATTGCATGAGCCACAGATAATGATTCAGTAAGACCTGTTCTTTGTACTGATGCTTATCAGAGGTGTTCATCTGCTTAAATCATTTGCCGACAGATGCTTGCATGTTTGTACACACAATTGTGTGCAAACATGTCATCGTCCACATATGAAGTAACACTGCATGGTTAACTCACTGTAATATGTCTTGACATGATGCTCATTCATATGACATATATGGAAACACAAAAGATAAACAGGACAAGGAACATGTATATGCACCTTTGATGGGTATAGTTGATGGTTTTAGGATTGATGTGTAGCCAAGGCTTTGTTAACGCTATTCTGAACTTACTATTGCCAGCCGTACGCTCTAAACCTTCGGCTGTCCCTCCTAACTCTGCATGCGTCATATCATTTCGCTTCTTGCTTTGTGTATTTGACTGTTATTGTTTGATTGCATGTTTTACTGGATGGTTGAAACCCAGGTGTTCCGACACCACATTATTCTCGGGTTATTTAGCCAAAAGTTAACAATATTGGTACACTATTGTGTCAGTAGATATATTGAGAGGTAAGTCATCAATGTAGTGTGCTAATTGTGCTAACCAAAGGCAGTGATTGGTTTTGAAACAGATAGTAGATCTGACTTTTTCTTAGCTCACATGCACAGTGATTGTCTGCTTCACATCCTTCTCCCGTCTCCTGTGTATACAGTATGAGAAGTCTATAACTAATTAGTCTACTAATTAATTAGTCTACTAGTCTATAATTAATTAGTCTACTTTATTATTTTGAAATTACACCCTTCATGATCCACTTATCGTGCAATAATGTAACTAATGAATATGGACAGTAAATGACACTCAACAATTTACAAACACAAATTTGTTAAATAGTTCGGTAGTTTTATAATTAATTTTTTTAAATGCTTTAGAATTTTATTTTTGACTTCAGTGTTCTGCTGGTGAATTCAGTGTTACAAACGGGAAATTATATATGAAGCCAAGAAAGTCAATAATATGTAAAAATATAACACGAGTGAGATTAGACTAGTTAAATTATTTTTATTGTTTAGTTTTTAATGTGCAGTCAATATTTGCATATAATTGAGTTATGCAAAATATAATAATAACAAAAATAATATGCTTTAATAAGCAAGAATTCATACATACATGCATGCATAAGATACATAAATAATGAAGGATTAATAGGCAAGACAGGTATAATCCCTAAAGCCACCAATACACAGAGTGTTTGTGTTGGTCGATGGAATGAGCACCGGTGGTATAGTGTGTGATGCCTCGGTGCCAGGCTCTGGTCTCGGACCTCTCGGTCATTTTGTTTCTTGATTCTACATCTCGTTATGACGCTTTCCAGGAGAGTATACTTTGCTTAGATCAAGATTCAACTGAAATGTAAGTACTGTACATTAATATTTTTGTATTACAGTTAAAATACAGTAATTAAACTATGATAATACTGAATTTCTCTGCAGCAAGACTGTTCATCAGATCCTTTGAAGCACAGTATTATATATTATGGTTCTGTACCTGTCCAAAACGATCTCTGGTTGAGCTCAAAAAAATTTCTGTTTGAACTCAAAAAGTTCTAGAGAGCTCACAGCTGCTCTCTGGCTCACCAATGTGCCCGACATGCACAAGTAGAGTGATGCAGCATTATTTGTGGTGTAATTACCTAAGTGTAGTTACGGGATGAGAGCTATGCTCGTGGTGTCCCGTCTCCCGAGCACTCTGTCATATAATGCTTTTATATGGTAATAAAACAAATGGGCAAAGTTTCTTTCACCCTGAATGCCCCTGTTACCTAGCAGTAAATAGGTACCTGGGAGTTAGTCAGCTGTCACGGGCTGCTTCCTGGGGGTGGAGGCCTGGTCGAGGACCGGGCCGCGGGGACACTAAAGCCCCGAAATCATCTCAAAATAACCTCAAAAATATGGTGTGCGCGCACATTCATGCATCATCTTCCTCTTACATTCCTAGAATTATGAAAATTACAAAATATTTTTCCATTATGTTGACTCAAAATAGTGATGATAAAGGCTTCTTATAGAGGCCATGTGATGAAGAAATATGTATTGATGAATTTTCCTTATGGCTTTGTGAGTGATGCTTTTAAGAGTGTCTGTGCAAGTAGTATAATGTGAGTATGCTAACTTCTTGAATGCCATGTTCAAGCTGTGCATAAACAGCAGTTTATGCACAGCAGTCCCCGTGGCGCAGTGGTAAAACACGCACCTGGCACTTCGCGAGCGTTTTGGCCTGGGTTTGTATCCCTGGCCGGGAAGGATTGACTGGGCGCCAGTCCTTAACTGTAGCCTCTTCACCCAACAGTGAATGGGTACCTGGTTGTTAAACGATTCGGCGGGTCGTATTCTGGGGAAAATTTGGATTAAAAACTTGCCCGAAACGCTATGCGTGCTAGTGACCGTATAGGAATGTAAGAACTCTTGTATAATAAATAAAAAATAAATAAAAGGTAGTAAGGATTAAATAATGAGTGATGTCTATGTAGTATGACAATGGTAGGTGCAGAGGCCTCGAGGAAACAGGTTGAGTGTCTGCAACTCTGCCCAACCTATCTGTGGATGACTCAAATTAACCTAAATTTGCTACTAAAACAAATTAACTATGACACCAGTATAACATTTCTTGGTGCTAGAGATAAAAAACAGCTTATCTGTGACAACAGAATAACAGAATGATCCAGGAACACTGGAAGGAGAAAGACCAGAGGTGATGTGATTCTGATGTAAGGATGAAGTGAATAGAGACTTGCCTTTCCAGGTGAAAGAAAACAAAACAAAACAGGGCCAAACAGACTTTAAAAATACAAATGAATCTGAAATGCATGAAATGGCTTGTATTCAGTTTGGGTGATAAAGAAATGGTATATACTTGGAGGAGAGGTCATTGAAGCCACCTCGGTGCACAGCGTCAAGTGCAGTTATATCTGCGAGTAAATATTTGAAGTAAATTCCCCAGGAACAATAGCTATGAAACGGGGCCTATAGTTAGGCCTTGCTACCCACAGACAAAGAAGACATCATTCAATTTTTCTTACTATTCTTATTTTACGTTGAAATTTGGGAAGGAGCGACCAAATTTTTTGCCGTTTCATTCTCAACGTGCTCGGATACAACATTCAATTCGTGACTGTTCGGTAATTGAAAATATAATATATTCTAACACTTAATGTTCAAAAGGGCTGTTTATAAGTTAAAATTAAAGTTGCATTTGTATTAACTAAACCACTTGCTGAAATGTTGATGTGTGTAAACCTCCTTAGTGTCACTTATTTGTCCGACATGAGTTATATATATCACTTGCACACACTGCTGGCTGTAGCTATGTAAGACTTGATCGCCATTCCTGTCTGTCCTGAAGAAGTCACATCAGTATAACGCTGAATAAATGGAGATGCATACGTTGCACTTTGTGGTATTTAGCAAATGGTTTACAACCTACTGTGCTTGGAACTGAACCTTATTACCTGTTGTAAATAGAAGATAATTAAGCATGTAAAGTTATATGGTTGGAAAAGGTCACCTGTTCATCAGATTGTGTGAGGAAGATGCCCCTACATAAGACTGTGAGGAAGACCCCCACCACATTAGACTGTGAGGAAGACCATCACATCAGACTGTAAGGAAGACCTTCACATCAGACTATAAGGACGACCTCCACATTAGACTGTGAGGAAGACCACCTTCACATTAGCCTGTGAGGAAGACCACCACATTAGACAGTGAGGAAGACCTCCACATTAGACTGAGGAAGACCTCCACATCAGACTGTGAGGAAGACCACCACATTAGACTGTGAGGAAGACCTCCACATTAGACTGTGAGGAAGACCACCACATTAGACTGAGGAAGACCACCACATTAGACTGTGAGGAAGACCACCACATTAGCCTGTGAGGAAGACCTCCACATTAGACTGTGAGGAAGACCTCCACATTAGACTGTGAGGAAGACCTCCACATTAGACTGTGAGGAAGACCTCCACATTAGACTGTGAGGAAGACCTCCACATTAGACTGTGAGGAAGACCTCCACATAAGACTGTGAGGAAGACCTCCACATAAGACTGTGAGGAAGACCTCCACATCAGACTGTGAGGAAGACCTCCACATCAGACTGTGAGGAAGACCTCCACATTAGACTGTGAGGAAGACCTCCACATAAGACTGTGAGGAAGACCTCCACATCAGACTGTAAGGAAGACCTCCACATCAGACTGTGAGGAAGACCTCCACATCAGACTGTAAGGAAGACCTCCTCCACAGCATTGGGGGTTCTGGTGCACCTCTGCTTCAATATGATTACAGTACATCTTTAAATCATTCCATATAATTTCATAGACTTAAACTTCTAATGTACGTCTCTCGTAAAATTCCATTATTTGGACTACTTTAGGATACTTTAGAATTTTTGTTAGTTTGTAAATAGTCTCATAATATCAGAGCTCTTACGATAACAGCTTAACATTGCATGAGTAAGGACTGACGCTGTATAGTTTTGTCGTGTTTGTTTGTGTGTCAAAAGCATGTTACCATTCCCATAACCATTAGTATAATATCCTGAGTCAGCACATTTACATCATAATATATATATATACTAAGTTCTCCGAGAATTTCAATGACCCCCTTATGCATTTTTGCTGTCATTTCAGTGTTTGTGTTTTAATTTGAAAAAAAGCTTATTTTTTTGGATTTTAGAATAGATTGCTTGATTAATTTAGATATTTGAATTATTTTTAGATGTGTTTTATTAGAGTTTATATATATATATATATATATATATATATATATATATATATATATATATATATATATATATATATACATATATATATATATATATATATAAAATGTCATACCTAGTAGCCAGAATGCACTATTCGGCTTACTATGCAATGCCTGATTTGTCTAATAGACTGAGTGATTTTCTTCACAGTATTTAAAAAAAAAAAATCCAATTTATTTGAATTATTATTATATTAAGAACATAAATTATTGACTTAGTTATGTTAGATTAGGTCAGGTTAAGAAAAGTTAGGTTTGGTTAGGTAGGGTTATCTTGAGGTCATCTTGAGATGATTTTGGGGCTTAGCGTCCCCGTGGCCCGGTCCTCGACCAGGCCTCCTTTTTGTTACCTCCCTTCCCCCCCAGGAAGCAGCCTGTAGCAGCTGTCTAACTCCCAGGTAACTATTTATTGCTAGGTGAACAGGGGCATCTGGGCGAAAGAAACTTTGCCCGTTTGTTTCCAGCTCCATTGGGGATTGAACCAGAAACCTTAGGACTATGAATCCCGAGTGCTGTCCACTCGGCCGTCAGGCCCCTTTTTTTCTAACCTACCCCCAGGGTAGGATAGGTTCGGTCATATATCTACGTTAGTTTTAACTGAAATTAACAAAAAATAAACTCATACATAATGAAATGGATAGTTTTATCATTTCATAAGAAAAAAAATAGAAAACTATATAAATTCAGGAAAACATCTCATTAAGCAAATTAGGCCAGGCATAGTAGGCCAAGTACTGCATTCTGTCTATTAGGTATAAAATACTAGTATACATATATATATATATATATATATATATATATATATATATATATATATATATATATATATATATATATATATATATAATAATAATTTTATTATTTGTTTACATGGGCAAAATTCCCTAATGTTCAATCCGAGATCCAAGCCTGGATGAGTTAGTCAATTGGTAAAAGAGACGGTGTGTGTGTGTGTGCATGGGTGCATGCTGATTGTGTGGCCATCGGTTGTGTTTCAGCAACAGTGGTGCAATTTGGAATGTTGGGAGCAGCAGCCACAGCAGCAGCAGCAGCAGCAGCAACAGCAACCACAGCAGCAGCAGCAACGGGGGCATCACCCTTCGCCACCCCCCCGAGCCCCCCCACCCCCATAACCCTGATCCTGGAGGGGGCTACATCCCCCCCAATCACCCCTCTTCCCAACATTCCCACGCCCACGTCCCCACCTACAGGTTGGTGTTCCAGCCTTGCTTCACTGCCTCATCCAGGGCTGCTAGAGTTCCTTGTTGGGTCTTATTATGGAGAGAGAGAGAGAGGGAGAAACATGGTATCATTTACAGGCGATAAGTCACAATAACGTGTCTAAAGTATGATGACCAGACCACACACTAGAATGTGAAGGGACGATGACGTTTCGGTCCGTCCTGGACCATTCTCAAGTCGATTGAGAATGGTCCAGGACGGACCGAAATGTCGTCATCCCTTCACATTCTAGTGTGTGGTCTGGTCATCATGGTATCATTTATTAAACATGGTAAACATTTATCATTTAAGTTGGTGACTGCCTTATTGGTAATTGCAGAAGAGAGGAACTCCTTTAAAGCAACACTGATTTTCATGACTTAATATTGAAAACGAAGATATATATAGTACATTATAGGGTAAATTTGGATGGAAAGGAATATTTTATATATTATATCATTAAATTTATATAATATAATACCACTTATGTAGGCATTTTCCTGTTTGAAGGAACATGCTTTCATTAAATTTACAGATCTTGGAAGACATTTCTAAAGATGTATAAATAAGTATAACATAATTATTGTACTACACATACAGTACCTTCTTCAAACTAACATCTGGGTGCTTCCTTTTTGTCAATTTTGTTGATTCCTGTTACTATTTTGTAAATAGTGACCACATCACCTCTTTTTCCTTCTATTCTTTAGCTGTGTCATATGGTGATGCTTTTAAATGTGATGTGATAGAGTATTTAAAACATTTTACCTCTCGTCGAGCGGACAGCACACTGGACTTGTGATCCTGTGGTCCTGGGTTCGATCCCAGGCGCCGGCGAGAAAAATGGGCAAAAGTTTCTTTCACCCTATGCCCCTGTTACCTAGCAGTAAAATAGGTACCTGGGTGTTAGTCAGCTGTCACGGGCTGCCTCCTGGGGGTGGAGGCCTGGTCGAGGACCGGGCCGCGGGGACACTAAAAGCCCCGAAATCATCTCAAGATAACCACAGCGTAGGCTCCTCAGTGTCCTTCATGTGGTCCTCTGATGACAGTCTACTATCTAGGACCACCTCTAGATTTTTTTTCTATGTCCGAGTTCTTTAATTCCTTCCCACATAATTAGTAAGTTGTGTGTAGTTTATTTTGTACTCACCTAGTTGTGCTTGTGGGGGTTGAGCTTTGTCTCTTTGGTCCCGCCTCTCTCTGTTGTGTGTGTGTGTGTGTAATTACCCAAGTGTAATTACCTAAGTATAGTTACTGAATGAAAGCTATGCTCGTGGTGTCTCGTCTTCCCAGTTCTCTGTCATATAACGCTTTGGAACTATGGACAGTTTTGGCCTCCACCGCCACCTCACTTAACTTGTTTCAACTGTCTACAACTCTGTTTGCAAAAGAAAACTTTCTTTATTTGTTTGTCACCTTTGTTTCCTTAGCTTGAATCTGTGTCCTCTTACTGTTTGTGGGTTGGTTGGTGGAGGTAGGGTGGGATGGAAGGGAAATGATAGTAAGATGACAAATTTGAAACTTGTGTGGCATTTTGTGTGTTATATTTGCATGAAAGAGATAAAAATTCTGCAATAGCATGTATACATTTATCATTCACACAAGTATTAACCACTGTGTATTGCACAACTCTTCTAAGGGTGGAGATGGTCACACTAGGCAAGGCTACCACACAGTATTGTATTACACTCTAATGTAAACATAGGCATGAGACACAACAGCACACAAATACACACACTTGCTCCTCCCTTGCTTATAAAACTTGAAAGAGGATTATATTAAATTACAACTGCAATGACGCAATGAAAATGTGATTAATACAGTACACACAAAATACCAGTCACTTCACCATATTTTCATTCTTTTATACGAATGTGATCATAACATCGAGCCTCGTCTGCCTCTTGGTTGTCTCGGTGGTTTTGAAATAATTTAGCTAGGCCTCCAAATTGTAGTAATTAAAAAAGTTAAATATTTTATATTATCAAATTTTGACATAAAAAAAGATTTTATATATTTGTAGTGTTTGTATTGAGAGCTGGGGATGTGTGTATATATCAAGAGCTGAGAGGGTGACTTTAAGGTGTCTATGTGCATTGAGAGCTAGGGAGAGGCAACTGAAATGTGAACTGTATATATATGTGTGTATTGCTACCTTGAGGTGCTTCCGGGGCTTAGCGTCCCCGCGGTCCGGTCGTCGACCAGGCCTCCTGGTTGTCGGACTGATCAACCAGGCTGTTGGACGCGGCTGCTTGCAGCCTGACGTATGAGTCACAGCCTGGTTGATCAGGTATCCTTTGGAGGTATTCTTTGCTGGGTAGGGTTATGGAGATTTTTCCATATATCAAAAGCTAAGAGAGAGCAATTGCTGTTCTGCGAGCAACTTTAGTGTTTAATTGACATGCCTACATGGGTTAGACAAAATTAACTACTGTATTTATATGAATGTGAGGCATGAATGGTAAATGCACGTTGATATTTTATGAGCCATAAGCGAGGTGAAGTAATTCACTAATTGTGGTGTATAAATTGATCTCCCTAAACCTTCTTTCTCCCTCTCTGATCTCTCTTGCTTTGTCATATACTTTTATATTGTGTATTCGTAGTGATCGTTGTTTTAACTCGCTACCAAAGTTCACTTTAGACCAGACTAGACTGAGCCACGACCTAAATGGCATATTACTCGTTAGTAATGCCTGCACAAGGTGCAAAACCCATCTAGTGACTGCACGTTGGTCTCTTCTTCAGGATAAACACAGGCAAGTAATGTGTACTTCCTGGGCCTTAAGATTTTGTTTACTATAATTGGAAATTATATCTGCTTACTCTGGCTATCAGCTGCATTAGCTTGTATGCCATGCTGAATGTTTGTGTACAAGGCTAGTTTGCTTTCTGTTTTCTTCATTGTTAGCTGTAAATGTTCTCCTTTTCTGCTGTGTGGCTGTTAGTAAACAAGCCGGTTACTAGGCGCATGGAGCGATTGCCTATGAACACTTTACATTTAACATTAGAAGTTAATCATAATTGCCACCACCAGGGCAGCACCCAGAAAGTTAGGTAAACCAAACAGACTTCTGCAGGGTTATGGTTAAAAACGAGACCACGGCCTTAAAACTGTCAAAAGAACTGCCACCAACAATGAAATCAAACCACCAAAATTTTGTGAAACTAGCGCATACTAGTTTGCCTCGCCTCTGCTGGCGCCTGAGTGGACATCGCTTCAGATTCGTAGTCCTGAGGTTCCGGGTTCGAACCCTGGTGGAGGCAGAGACAAATGAGAAAAAAGTTTCTTTCACCCTGATGCCCTTTTTACCTAGCAGTAAATAGGTACCTGGGAGTTAAAACAGCTGCTACGGGCTGCTTCCTGGGGGTGTGTAACAAAATGGAGGCGGCCTGGTCGAGGACCGGGCCGGGGGGACGTTAAGCCCCAAAATCATATCAAGATAAGATACAACACCTCCCCTCATTTGAGGGTAGAAGGAAGGTGTACCAGATCAGCTGGCCTGCTCCACCTTGAGTTCGTTTGTGATGATGATGCTTTGGTAATTACCTAAGTGTAGTTACAGGATGAGAGCTACGCTCGTGGTGTCCCGTCTTCCCAGCACTCTTTGTCATATAACGTTTTGAAACTACTATTGGTGCGGTCCTAGTTGCACTCTCCTGGCTCCAGTCTCCTGGCGTCAGCTAAATGGTGCTGCTTTTGAGGCAGGGTTGTCTTGTTGGGCTCTGTAGCCCGCTTATGGATCCCAATTGCGTTCCAGCTGTTTACGTTCGCGGCTTCAGCTCTTCGGTTCCTGGCAACCCTGCTTTAAAGCTTTAAATCAGACCCAGGCAACACTAGGTATACCCCTAGTTATATATATGAGAAACCATGATGAATATTCGGACCTACCCACTGGGTGCTGCCAAGTATATGCCGTAAACAACTCGGCCACGACATGCTAAAAGCAATGCAATCTTGGATTCAACTAAATCCTTGAGGGCTCTTGAGGCTTCCACAGAAGCCCACTCAGGCTTTCATGTACTGGATATGAAAAACACTTTTCTGAGGGGTACTTTTGGTTACTTATATTCCTGCTTGTCTTCCTTGAGATGTTTTTAATTTGGGGTTCTGGTAAAATGTGGGGAGGTTGGGAGGGCTTTGTTATGGTATCGACGGTGCCTTGTACTGGCTCCTCAGCTGGCTCTGCCAAGGACCAACTGGAGCATGGTGGGTAAGGGAGCCGGTCGGCCGAGCGGACAGCACGCTGGACTTGTGATCCTGTGGTCCAGGGTTCGATCCCAGGCGCCGGCGAGAAACAATGGGCAGAGTTTCTTTCACCCTATGCCCCCTGTTACCTAGCAGTAAAATAGGTACCTGGGTGTTAGTCAGCTGTCACGGGCTGCTTCCTGGGGGTGGAGGCCTGGTCGAGGACCGGGCCGCGGGGACACTAAAGCCTCGAAATCATCTCAAGATAACCTCAAGATGGTGGTCCTGGGTACCACCTGGGACCATGGTACCTGGGTGTTAGACAGCTGTCACGGGCTGCTTCCTGGGGGTGGAGGCCTGGTCGAGGACCGGGCCGCGGGGACACTAAAGCCCCGAAATCATCTCAAGATAACCTCAAGATATTCATGGTGCACTTGTTAGTGTGGGGCCTAAGGAGTTCAGGTGTGGGAATTCAATCCTGTCTTACAGCTTCAATGTTTTCTCACAAGTTTGAACTTTCCTTTGGAGGAAACTGAACATATTGCTCTGAAAAAGAATTTTCATGTGCACTTGAAGACTTACTTTTAGTTAGATATTCTAGAACATAAAGTAGAGTGTATCTGAGAATGGGGTAGTTAGATACCATTAGATTTAGATTAAGGAGTTCTTACTGTACTTAATATTAAAAGAAAATGGTGTATGGTACATTACATTTTACTGCTGAAATGAATTACTGGGTAAATTTACCTATTTTCATGTTCTTTCCAAGTTCTTGGTTCCTTAACTGCTTATACAGCTGGTTGATGGGCAAGATTATATTAACCTTTTCCTAATCACTCCTAAGCTAGAGCAAACTGTGCTTCTCGATGACTAAATAGCGGGGACACCACACCTACTCCATCAGACATGTTAATGCACTTGTGTAGGAATGGAGATCATTTAGCTCATGTTAGATCAATCCAGAGATGGTTTAAATATGTGTAATATCCTATAATATTTCTTTAGTAATCTTAAATGTGCTTTTTATTCAGTATTAATATTTCGTGTAACATAGTTATATATTTATTGTAAAAAAGTGATTTACAATATGAATTATATTTCAGCATATTAAGGATTATCCCTTTATAATTTAATGACAATATGTCGTGCTTCCCTCCACAGGGAATATGTCGAAGCCAAATTACAAAAGCGGGCGATGGAAAACAATAATATCTATAGGCGGCAAGCAGGAGAAGGTGGCGGTCATTTATCTGAAAATGGGACACACAGATCAGCCGAGAACCTGTCCCACCGAGGTGAAGTTATGTCGCAGCCTCGGCCAAAGACGGTGGGGGCGGCAAAACCTTGCAACGGTGTACGTAAATGTTATGGTTCTATTGTTTATCTTTCGGTATTGGTTATCATAAGGAAGTAAATGTTATGATTCTATTGTTTATCTTTTGGTATTGGTTATCATAAGGAAGTAAATGTTATGATTCTATTGTTTATCTTTCGGTATTGGTTATCATAAGGAAGTAAATGTTATGGTTCTATTGTTTATCTTTCGGCATTGGTTATCATAAGGAAGTAAATGTTATGATTCTATTGTTTATCTTTCGGTATTGGTTATCATAAGGAAATACTGCTCTGTATTTCAGGTAATAGACATATAATTTGACAAGGCTTTATATATATTATTGTTTAGACTTTATTTCCAGAGTGTCCATAACCTCTCTTTGGAGATCCAAGAGTTGTATTGTTAATTTGTTATGGTTAAAATCTGGCATCATTAAATTGATAGCTTTAATTTACCTAATAACCCAAGCCACACATGAAATGAAAGTGACACTGTGTCTCTCCATTATGGGTCCTTATCAAGTTACAACTATGTATATATGTACATGCTGTGTCAATACATATGAGAGTTTCTCTCAAAAAGTATGATATTCATACTTTTTATTCCATGGACAGCCTTGGCCACATTCTTGCATTATCATTTGTCTTTGTGCCAATCTTCATATCTGTATAATAACTGCTGGTCTTCCATTGGCAGGCCTTCCTACACGGCCTTGCATCATGTGCTTATTGTCGTGATTATTGGTTTCACCTACTTTACACCCCCCCCTCCTCCTAATTCTCATAAATTATACCCGACTCATGCAAGTGAAACTTCACACACGGCTTTTTCCTGTTTGTCCCATTAACACCTGCAACGTTCACTTCTCTCATTCTTATCACATGTGAGAAGAATGCTTTTGTTTGTCTCTCTCTTAAACTTATTCTCACTTGGCCACCTGAGCATTTTCAGTTTCTTAAATGCATATCTTATATTGTTCAGCCTTTCTTAGGTTAATCATTCATATGATTACATGTGTAATACTTGCTGGGGACTTATTATTTTAGTAATCTGCAAAATAAACAAGATTTCATGTAGACTTTTTCTTCAGACTGTTGTTGTGGAGTTTGTCATCTGAGACGTGTTGAAGAATCTTTAATGTTTTTTCTCAATTTTGTTTAAATAATATGGAAATGAACGTTTGTACCTTGAGAAGTATAGCTAAATCTTGTTTTAGCATTCCTGCTGTCAATACTGTTAACAAAGTATGGGATAATGTTGACCCTTATTCATTGACCCATTACTTCCTCTCTCCATTCACACACGACTTAATAATGGTCCAGGACGGACCAAAACATCATCATTTCTTCATCTTCTGATGCTTGGTTTGCTCATCATATCTTCAGCCACGTTATTGGGACTCATCGTCTGCATATGGGATAATGAATTATGTGATTGAGAGCTTGAACAAATATAGATATATGGACATGCACACATGCGCACTAACTATTCAAAAGAGCTTCCTTTTATCATTTTCTATTAATTTGTTCTATCTCATTTTTTTCACATAAGATTATCATACATACAGTATCATGCATACACTATCATCATACAGTACTCCTGTTTTTGTGCCCCCAAGTCTTTAGTGGTGGTCTCATAACTGGGGCAACTCTCACTCTTCCACATCTTGATGCAGTTCAAAATACAGATGTTTGTCGGATCAGTTCATTTGATACCACATCTCAGCTCATCATGGTCTGCTGCTGCAAAGTTGCTTCTCTCTCTTCCATAGTTACTTGAATTACACCTGTTCTCAGGAACTTTTAAGTTCTCACGTTATACTTGCACTGCAGCTTCTCGCAGTTGATGTGTCGTGTTAATTCAAGAATTAAATGCTCTTGCTTCTTTTGATGTTGACCAGACCATACACTAGAAGGTGAAGGGACGATGACGTTTTGGTCCATCCTGGACCATTCTCAATCGACTTGAGAATGGTCCAGGAAGGACCGAAACGTCGTCATCCTTTCACCTTCTAGTGTGTGGTCTGGTCAACATACTTCAGCCACGTTATTGTGACTCCTCGCCTGCTATTGTTTCTGTTTCCATTACACAGGAATGTTGTGAAATGGAATGCCACTTTTTATTTCCCTCAACACCAGATCACCATTGTTTTAGCACATGTCTCTGGAGCTTTACTTTACATTCTTACCAATTGTTTTTCCTTGTCGAGTTGATGCACTGTTGAGCAGGCAAAAATTGCCTTTGCGTCGACCTATTGAAAAAGAGGAGACCAGGGGCCAGATTCATGAAGCAGTTACGCAATTACTTACGAACGTGTACATCTTTCCTCAATCTTTGACGGCTTTGGTTACATTTATTAAACAGTTTACAAGCATGAAAACTTGTCAATCAACTGTTGTTATTGTTATAAACAGCCTCCTGGTGCTTTGGAGCTCATTAACTGTTAAATAATTGTAAACAAAGCCGTCAAAGATTGAGGAAAGATGTACAGGTTCCTAAGTACTTGCGTAACTGCTTCATGAATCTGGCCCCAGGAGCCGGAACTTGATCGCTGCAACAAAAGTTAGACAAATACATACAAAGGCAAGTATACATACACACATACATAAACAAGCATACACATAGAAATACAAATGAATGAATGACAATGTAGATCCCAAGAATTTGGCATCCTAAATTACTTTTGTGGTAGTTTATAGGTATTAAAGAATATATTAGAAGTAACGGAAAGCCGTCTCCATTCATTGTAGCGTTCTCCAAGGTAAGTTTGATTATTATAAATCTGTCCTAATGAGAGAAATATCACTAAACAACTCTGATATTTAATAAGCTCTGAATTCGATTCCTAAAAGCAGGAATTAATTGCTAGCTTGTTCTTGTATGGTGGCATGGTAAGGATATGTAATATTTGTAGACCTTTGAGATTTATTTTACTAATGCTAGCTAATGCTGAGTTAGGAACAAATATAATTGTTGTTCTTTTCCAGTCATTGAAGAATTGCCCTTCTTATAAGAGTTGACATGATCTTCTTATCTTGAGGTTATCTTGAGATGATTTCGGGGCTTTAGTGTCCCCGCGGCCCGGTCCTCGACCAGGCCTCCACCCCCAGGAAGCAGCCCGTGACAGCTGACTAACACCCAGCTACCTATTTACAGCTAGGTAACAGGGGCATTCAGGGTGAAAGAAACTTTGCCCATTTGTTTCTGCCTTGTGCGGGAATCGAACCCGCGCCACAGAATTACGAGTCCTGCGCGCTATCCACCAGGCTACGAGGCCCTCCTCGTAGACCAATACAGTACTCACAATTAATACAAGTTGCAAATTTTGAAGCAAATACAGTGATAAGAAACTATTGAAGCCGTTTGATAAGAACAAACCCACATCCCTGAACTCGGGCAGACGCTCTACATACAACTTTCAATCATTTCTCATAGATATATCGGAATCTTATTTCATTATGCATATACAGTGACATCTCGATTCAAATAAGTTGGTTCTCGACCGAACTGTTGCTTTAAGATATTTACTGTTTCGTTATTTAATTTTGCCCGTCGGTTTTATTGGCTGAAACCGTAGAACTATGTATTTGTATACATTTGTTCAGTATTTTGATACCGTGTTACCATGGAAAAGTTAACTGTGTTCAAATGAATTAATAATGAATGACCAGGTGGCCACCAGATAGGCAAAGTATCTTGACAAAGATACTTTGGTACAGATACAGCTAGCTTGAGGTTACCTTGAGGTTACCTTGAGGTGCTTCCGGGGCTTAGCGTCCCCGCGGCCCGGTCGTCGACCAGGCCTCCTGGTTGCCGGACTGATCAACCAGGCTTGGTTGATCAGCTTGGACTGTATCTTGGCAAAGGTCAGTAATTGGCCTAGAGTGACCTCAATAAGCCTAACAGGCTTCCTCTCCCTGACTACGGGAAATCATAAGTCAAACACCACACCCAAAAAATGCCATTACCAATTCTGATTATAGAAACTTTTCTTTTTATCTAAATACAAAAAAAAAAACAAAGAACGAGCGATAATGACAGTACAGTATTGTAATTACTGTATTTTGTTGCATTCAGGCTTCCATTGAACCAGGTTTCACTTGATTGAGACCCTGCTGTATTTTTTATTTTAATCAAATGCATCTTATATCATGGGCATTCTTAAATTGTAAGAAATACCTTTATTAACTCATAAGGCTGTTATTATTGTGTATATCTGTAGTGGTTTGCTATAGAAAGTTAATGAATATTCCTTTAATCATTATGTTTGGCCTTGTTGTAATAGAGTACTGTAGTTGAGTAGGTATGCTGTATTTCTCACTGCTTTATTGTATTATGTTGGTAGTGACATATTTGATAAGGTATTATAATATTAAAAGGCTTATTTTGTTTTCAACCCAAAATGTATTGGAAAAGCAATGATGAGATGCTCAGGCCTAACATCAAGATTCTTCATTTAGACAACATCCTGTAGATTTCTTGCTTACCACATAATCTGCATTGGAAGCTTGCACAAAACTGTGATTGAACACTTACCAAACTCCTTAGTGAAAATGTGCTTACAGCTTGATGGCTATTCTCAGAGGTTGTGTAGTCAACCACGACCACAAGACCTCAGTCGGGAGGACATGACGCGAGCAGACGTCAAGACTATACAGAAGGAAGCTGTCTTGTCTTATATAAAGGTGAGGTCGCTACTCCTCACAAAAGGTTGGGCCATAATTCAGTATAAGGATTAAATCAATGTCATAACGCAACGGGTATCTTGCACACCTCACTTTAGAGACAACACACACATCCTTAAGTGTCATAACACACCGGGTGTCTTGCACACCTCACTTTAGAGACAACACACACATCCTTAAGTGTCAATAACACACCGGGTGTCTTGCACACCTCACTTCAGAGACAACACACACATCATTAAGTGTCAATAACACACCAGGTGTCTTGCACACCTCACTTTAGAGACAACACACACATCCTTAAGTGTCATAACACACCAGGTGTCTTGCACATCTCACTTCAGAGACAACACACACATCCTTAAGTGTCAATAACACACCAGGTGTCTTGCACACCTCACTTCAGAGACAACACACACATCCTTAAGTGTCATAACACACCGGGTGTCTTGCACATCTCACTTCAGAGACAACACACACATCCTTAAGTGTCATAACACACCGGGTGTCTTGCACATCTCACTTCAGAGACAACACACATCCTTAAGTGTCATAACACACCGGGTGTCTTGCACATCTCACTTCAGAGACAACACACATCCTTAAGTGTCATAACACACCGGGTGTCTTGCACATCTCACTTCAGAGACAACACACATTCTTAAGTGTCATAACACACCGGGTGTCTTGCACATCTCACTTCAGAGACAACACACATCTCATTTATCAAAGGGACACTATACCCAGTTTATAAAAAAAGTGGATTTTAGCGTAATATCTCACCTTTCTTAAATAAACTGCAACATTATGATTGAAGGGCTAAATCTTTTCCCTTTTACATGAGGTTAAAAGTAGACTTTCAAAATGTAAGTGTGATTTATGAGGCATTTAATCGCCTTCATTGTTTATAGCGAAAGCAAATTGTTTTGGATACTCTTGTCATGAAAAAGGACTAATTTATGCTATTCTTCCTGGCTATGAGCAGTTGTATTGCTTTCAAATCAAATAAGTTTGCTAAAAAGTAAAATACCAGATACACCCATGTGGGTGTGTCATAAGAATGTTTCTGATGAGCAGTCTGTATTTTCATCTATAAATAAAAATTTTATGCAAAGAGTGTATCCTACACTAATCTTGGATATTGACATAATTACCCAACATATTATTCATGATCATGATTCGTTATATTTAAAATAATTTTGTATAAACTCAAATCACAAAAAATCCATCTTATTTTATTGATCTAGAATTATAATGTAGCAGCTAAACTTAGCTGCTATAAACATTATAGTACATTCCTAGAAATGTTTCTGCTATCCGAGTGAAGATAACCCGTGGTGGTTTTTTCACTGCCATCACCTAATGTATTTTGGCCTGGACATTACAAAATTAACAAGTTGCATTGTTACGTGGACCTTTGTCACAGGGCATGCTGCATGTGTTATTCTTTGTTGCATTTTGTATTTCTGTAGGTTTATATTGGTAGAAATCATTATTACAGGTACTGTATTGCATTACCTGTGTGACTATTGTTTACTAGTGAGTCCCAGCTCACAGTCACTTGTTTGTATATCTTGTTGAAAGGACATTAGTGGGTATGGCTAAGTGAATGTGTGTGAACGGTATATGTGTATGTCTTGCTTATCTATGGCTTTTTACATTCCCTCTAACTTTCTTAATAAGTATCAAATTTCATATTTGATAGTGTCTCTTCATGATCAACCATATATGTTGGTGTTTATCATTGGCTATCAATACAGTTGACTGCAGTCACAGCTAGGACTTGGCTTTATAGTAATAGCCTCAGCTGGTTACCGAAATACCTCTTGATGCTAGCTTGCACAACACACTATGACAGTGTGCTGTCATAGTGTCAGTGTCATAGTTGGTAGTCACTTGTCAATAGCAAAATGATTTCTGTAAGCTCTCTTAAAGAAATTGTGATGTTCCAAACTAGTAATAGGAGCAACCTATGTTGTAGACACACACAGAGATGTCAGTAGACTTTGAACAAATCCACGAGGGTTCAAACCTACGTCCGAGAAGATCCCAGGCGCTGCCTTAATCATTTGATGCATCAGGCGAGGAGTCACAATAACGTGGCTGAAGTATGTTGACCAGACCACACACTAGAAGTTGAACGGACGACGACGTTTCGATCCGTCCTGGACCATTCTCAAGTTGTCAATTCCACTCTCAATTCTCATTCTCAAGTTCTCATTCTCGACTAGAGAATGGTCCAGGACGGACCGAAATGTCGTCGTCCCTTCTACTTCTAGTGTGTGGTCTGGTCAACATTTGATGCTTCATTTTGTTCATTTGTTGCATCACGCTATTGTGATTTCTGTGTGTAGTGTCAGTAGACTTTATTTGAAGGTAAATCTTTGTTTGTAATGGGCTATGAAATCAAAGAGTTTATACTGCATATTTAATAATAATTCTAATAATGTAAACAAAATCCATCCTTCCAGTTATAATTTTCTCCATTCTGATAGAGTAGTTTACACTATAGGTATATATCCAGTCATTGTTGTCTTGGCCAAGTGAACCTTCACTACACTATAGGTATATATCCAGTCATTGTTGTCTTGGCCAAGTGGTGAACCTTCACTACACTATAGGTATATATCCAGTCATTGCTATCTTGGCCAAGTGGTGAACCTTCACTACACTATTGGTATATATATCCAGTCATTGATGTCTTGGCCAAGTGGTGAACCTTCACTACACTATTGGTATATATATCCAGTCATTGATGTCTTGGCCAAGTGGTGAACCTTCACTACACTATAGGTATATATCCAGTCATTGCTATCTTGGCCAAGTGGTGAACCTTCACTACACTATTGGTATATATATCCAGTCATTGATGTCTTGGCCAAGTGGTGAACCTTCACTACACTATAGGTATATATATCCAGTCATTGATGTCTTGGCCAAGTGGTGAACCTTCACTCGGCTTGAGGTTGTTGTTAGATGACAGTCTTTTATTTTGTATTATTATTTTTTGCCATAGATGTGGCCATATTTTTACAATGCTAATCAGCATATATACATTTTCTTCTATCCTCCGGGGCAAGGTTAGAGATCTGTTAAACATATAGTTCAGTGATTTATTGAAGAATCAACCACAGAAGGTGACTGTAGTGCTTTTAAAATACTCATCTAACCTACATAAATACATAGATTTACATCTGTCCTATATAAATAGTGTTGGAGGTATGTTCTTTTATACCTAATGTGATTGGTGTGCATTTACAAAGGTGAATGGCTTGTGTGTTTAAGACATTCATGGAAAGTCTTAACACATCTGCTGTTAACTTCTAGTTAAATCATACTTGTGTTGAGAGAATATTATGACAATGGGTGAGATTGTACTCGTATCTTTGTAGTTGTCCAGAGGTGCAAGTTCTCTCCCCACCCATTACCGTAATGTTGTCTCGTAGATACATCATGTTGTCGTGATTTTATTGTCTACACTTGTGTTGCTCTTCACGTCGATGAAAATATTGTATCCGTTTACGTTTTCCTGCAATGTTTATTTTTCCATTGTTCTTTTGTCACTATGTCACTAATCATTAACAAAAGATGATTATTTGAATGTAGTGTGACTCTTTGTGTATTGTATGGTTGTCTGTCTTTCTGCCTACCTGTCTGCTGCCTGCCTGCCTGCCTGCCTGCCAGCAATTCACTTTGTCAGTAACATGCTTAAATGATAGGACTTTATTGCCTCCAACTTCATAATTGCTTATCACACACAGTTTCACGTTTCTTTAGTCTGACGGTGTTAGAGGCCATCCTCTTCAATTTGGCCTTTGCCTGATTCAGTAAGCACTTCCTCATGTTGTTTAAGGTAAGGAACTTGAATGGCTCAAATAGCAAAAAAGACTTTATTTTGTTACATTTGTCACGTGTAGATATCTAATTTGGGATTATGGTCTAATTGAATTTGTTTTATCAATTTCAGTCTCGTGTTAGTCCTACCAAAGGATCAGCCTCTAATTCGCCGGATGTGAGCTTTGATTCTGGAGACGGCTCCTCTTATCCTCCCGGCCATGCCAATTCCTCTCATTCCCAACACGCTGTGCCACACACCAACTATTCATCTAGTCCATACACCAGCCAAACTATAAATTATTCAGTAAATGTACCCCCAGCAACCAGTACACAATATCCTAGTAGTAGTAGTAGTAGTAGTAGTAGTAGTAACCCTTATACAAGTACCGGCCACCACACGTCAACACTTCCACCACAGACGTCCACCACCAGTACGTACACCACACGCGGAAGCACTAGTTCTCTACCTAAAGCGCCCACTACAGTCAAGGCCAGAAAACGAAGTGGTGGAGGACGACCTTTTGATCCAGACTCTTCTCCCGCCCATCTTAGTTTTACATATAGACGGGAATTGGAGAAACAGCAGCATGAGAAGCAGTTGATTGAAAATTTAAGAAATGTAAGAATAATTTGATAGCTTAGTGTATTCCTAGTTACAGTACTGTATTTATTATTCCAAAAAGTAATATTATTTCAAAATTTGTTTATACTAAGTAAATTATGTTAATGATATGATGTGCTCCTAAATACTAGTCCATTAACATGCTTATGTTCCTATGTTAATTTGCCGCTCTGCGATGAGTTATATACAATAGCCACTACAAGTTCCAGCGTGACCTGCCCTCTGCATGCTCCGCAAAGCTCTACCCATTATATTATGACTTTAAGTAGGTGATGTATATTGCAGCATCAGAATGTTTGTGTGATGTATTTTACATCATCAGAATGCTAGTGTATTAAGAGTTGTGACATTTTGGATATTGTAACATTTATAAAGAATGGATCTGTATGTGCGTGAGACTTAATACAGTCTGATCGATGAGAAGAGACCAAGAAAATTCAATCGACATGTATTTAAAAATAAAGTTCAAGGGCTGGAATGTGCTTTGTGATTATATCTGATATAAAATGAAGATTTAAGTCATGGAAGAATGACAGAGGTTCACGGAACCGTAGAATATACTGAAAGCCATACAAGTTAGAAGTACAGTCTTCTAATCTGAAAATGTTAACAGAAAAATTTGTGACTAGAACTTAGCTGGCAGCCATATATGATCTTCTATGTAACTGTAGTCTTTTTTTTTTTTTTAATGAAGAAAAGTTCCAGCTACTGCACTATGAAAAAATGAAAATATAAAAATGGAACTCACTTATACAATGCAATGCAATCACACTATTGAGTGAAAATGCAATATAAAAGATTTTAAAATAATCATGACAGTAGACCTTTTAAAAATCAATAAAGTAACTGTCCCAACTGCAAGATAAATTAGAAGTTAGATAACAAGGACTTTTTAAACAAGAAAGAGGCCAATGATACAGTTTAAGGCACTAGTGCTCGCTCTCTAGGAGAAGGGGGGGAATATTATTGCACAATATTGGCCCAATTTAAAGCTGGAGAAATTGTTGTCCTAGAGAATGTGCAAATGTCTTTTACTGCCTGAAGCCAATCAAAACATGTAAGTTATTGAGACCATTTAAAAAGTGGTTCCAAGAACGGTGCAGGTGAGAGAGATACTTAATAATTTACACTTGAAAAATATTAAGAGGGACTGCTTCCAAATCTGCCCACGGAAATAACTCCTCACGAGACCAAAAGACATGGCAGGAAGTGCAAACTAGCACCGTTGAAAAGCAGAGATGCAATAGTTACTCTGAAAGAGCCAGCGTTAAGCTAGCTAACTAAGCTAGCTAAGAAAGAACTGTCAGCGTTAAGAACCCAAGACTTGCCAACACTCTGTGTCTAAACATAAGAGGCATCACTAGCTGACCTCCCACGGTGTTCGAGAGAACATGATAAACACTACCTAATGATACCCACTCAACTGGTCCGCCATATCATTCTCCATACGTCAGGCTGCTCACAGCTGCATCCAGCAGCCTGGTTGACCAGTCCACTAAGAGGCCTGATCAGAGACTGGGCCATGGGGGACATTGATCCCCAAAACCAACAAGAGGTAGGTAGTCCTGGCCTTCTTCCATGGCTCTTAACTCTTGTTACTCTAGCAGCTACTTCTATAATCCCTTGACTTGTTCATAACACCCAGCAGTATTATGAGTAAGCTGTACTATCAATATCTACAATTAATTTAATACCATTGGCATCTAAGATGATTAAATGTGTTACAGATCATAGAGACAAGATTGAAAGTATCGCTGCCAGCAGATATGTCATCGGCGTTAATGGACGGAGTGGTCCTTTGTCACCTGGCAAACCATGTCCGCCCCAGATCTGTCTCTTCCATCCATGTTCCCTCCCCAGCTGTGGTGAGATTTTGGGCTAAGTTTCTTATGCACAGTAATGTTACATGAACATATGAATCTATGAATAGATATTGAAGCCATATGATGAAATGGAAACTGTATTCGTGACCACTTTGGGTGCACACACTACCGACTGGACCATGGTGAGCTAAACAGTATCTGGACTAGAAGTGTGGAACTACTACTGGTCAAAGTCCTTTTAGCCCATCATGGTGCAAGTGGTAGTGTGCGCGCCTAAGGCAGGCAGGGGGACACCGGCCCAATTCCATCGTTTTGCCTCAATATTTATTTTTGTTTGTTGGAGTTCAATGAATATAGCGATCTAAATAAATTTTGGCACTACAGGTATTCATAATTTTAAGGAAAGACTCAATAGAACTATTCTTTTTTAAATGTGAAATGCATGACGTTTTAGCAGTTACTATTCAAGTAACCTAAATAATGGTGTACAAGACAGAAACTAAATTTTCTTATGTTTGGGTAATGTTCAAATGTCATGCAATTAAAAATGACATTTATGAAAGAGTGATAAGCCACGAGACACACATGCATGGGCAGCAGCTGAGGAAGTCTCCTTTTATTTCATTTGCCTGTATGAAGGAAATGCCTATAAGACTCTAGTAAGAAGTCAGTAATTTAATTCATGTATTGTAAAGAAAGGGAGAGATAGAAAATGGATTTTAGTGCCTTCATGATACTACCAGTAGCATATGGGATAGACTTTGTGTTAGAGGCAGTGAGTGGTATCAACATTCAAGCTACAAAATTAGGTGTTTGTGTTATTCCCTAAATGTAGTTAAATGATGAGAGCTATTCTCATGGTGTCTCATCTTTGTTGACTAAACCACACACTAGAAAGTGAAGGGACGACGTTTCGGTCCGTCCTGGACTATTCTCAAGTCGATTGTCTCATCTTCCCAGTACTCTTTGTCATAACGCTTTGATACTACTGCCGGTTTTGGCCTCCACCACTTTCCCGCCTTACTTATTCCACCCGTCTACCTCTGTTTGCAAAAGTCAATTTTCTTATATTTCTTCGGCAGCTTTGTTTACTTAGTTGAAATCTATGACATTTTGTTCTTGGAGTTTCATGTCTCGGGAATTCTTCCCTATCAATTTGTCGATTCCTGTTACTATTTTGTACGTAGAGGTCATATCACCTCTTTTCTTCTATCTTCTAATTTTGCCATATTTAATGCCTCTAACCTCTCCTCGTAGTTCTTGCCCTTCAGTTCTGGGAACCATCTAGTTGCATGTCTTTGCACCTTTTCCAGTTTGTTGATGTGCTTCTTAAGATATGGGTATCATACCACTACTGCGTATTCCAGCTTTGGTCTAATAAAGTTTGTGAACAATTTCTTCAGTATTTCACCATTCATGTATTTAAAAGCAAATCTGAAGGTGGAAAGGGAAGTGCCCTCACACGATGTTCTTTATGTGGTCCTCAGGTGATGGTTTTCTATCTAAAATCACACACCCCCAAGATCTTATTCTTTATCAGAATTTTTTAAAGATTTTTTCACATCATTTGTAGGTTATGGTGGTCTATTTTCTCCTATTCCACATTCTATAATTCTATAACATGGCATTGATTCACATTTCGAAGTTGAGGACTAGCTAAACCTTTTTTGTTTAGGGGTTTCCACTGCATTGAAACACTTGTAACTAAAATATATAATTACTAATGTACGGTATTTGGTGTTATCCCCCTTCCCATCACACTACTTTTTGTAGTGTAAATACGGTACTGTAGCTGCTGAAACATCAAACGTTGTCACTGTCCAAATATTGATCGTATTATTGATGGTTGACTACTGCACGTAATGAATTATCTAACATCAAATATAACAGGGAGCCGGTCGGCCGAGCGGACGGCACACTGGACTTGTGATCCTGTGATCCCGGGTTCGATCCCGGGCGCCAGCGAGAAACAATGGGCAGAGTTTCTTTCACCCTATGCCCCTGTTACCTATCAGTAAAATAGGTACCTTTGTGTTAGTCAGCTGTCACGGGCTGCTTCCTAGGGGTGGAGGCCTGGTCGAGGACCGGGTCGCGGGGACACTAAAGCCCCAAAATCACCAAGATAATGTACCCCCATAGTACACTACAGTATATACTTCTGTCGTTGAAATAAGAAGTGGGGAAACATTCCTGTCTAGGTTACTTATCAGCCACACGAGATTAATTTGTAGAGACTATGGAACACGAAGTTGAATTTTATCGTCAGAATTACACTATTTCACTTGGTCACTCATTTTCAAGTAGCGTCCTAACAGTAATTTTTAAAACTGTTGGAAATTTTGCTTTCAGTTCTGCCCTATGTGCCACATGTATCTAAAAGAAAATATGTACTTGATAATCCAACTTCTGTGGTGTCAATCGTCATATGTCTTACTGTTGTTGTATTTGCATTATGAATGTTTGTACCTGCTGAATATTCTGTGACAGACAGTTGTATATAACCATAATGGCTTACTGTATTATGGCTACACATGTTAGTTCAAATGTAAATAATTGTTTTTATTTTGTTTTTTGTTTTTTTACAGCCAAAACTGACAATAGCAAAGTGCAGATTAAATGTTGAAAACTTCCTTGAAGCGTGCAGAAAGATTGGTGTTGAAGATGTAAGTAATGCAGTATTAAGCATTTTGGTTTTGTTTTTTTTAAGTTGCGTATTGTGTCTGTGTGTTTTTTGGAGAAGTTACAGCATAAATATATATATATATATACTGTATGTTATATATATACTGTATGTAATTATCAATAGTAAATTCAGTTTGCATTTAAAAATATACACTCAGATCACCCATTATTTCCAGCTGAATGAATTTAAAACTATGAAATTGCAAATTTGTACGAACATGCGTACGTTTACATACGCATGTTCACAGCTCTGGTCGAGAAACACAGTTGTGCATTTAGGGATCCACTAGAAACACTAGCTCCCCCTCTCATCTATATTCAACACACTTTGTCAGTTTTCTAGTTCACATTTTTTCACAAATTTGCAAATTCATTTATGCATATTAGATATATTGTATCTCAAAATTTTGATTAAAATATATATTTTGGTTTTCCTGATTCACTTTTAAGATTTTTTGTGACTAGTGATTGATAAGACAGATGAAGCTTTATCTAGTGACGTCTTGTGTTGGGATGAAGCTCTTGAAACATTCCTTAGAGAAATGTATTCTCTCATCTGAATTCAATTTTGTAACTATTTGTTGACCAGACCACACACTAGAAGGTGAAGGGACGACGACTTTTCGGTCCGTTTTAGACCATTCTCAAGTCGATTGTGACACAGTCGACTTGAGAATGGTCCAGGACGGACCGAAATGTCGTCGTCCCTTCACCTTCTAGTGTGTTGTCTGGTCAACATACTTTAGCCACGTTATTGTGACTCATCGCCTGCATTTGTAACTATTTGCTGACTGTGCAGTAGTTCTAAGGCAAACTTTCCATCCTGGGCCCAACTTTCTCATGTCCTCTGTAAAAAGAAAATATTACATTATAAGATTTCTGAAGGCATTTTGCTGAAGATAAATTCTTGATCTGTGTGTTTTAAGATTTGAGTCAAACTAGTGAGTGTATAAGTGAGCCAAAGTAACATCTCCCAAGAACATGCTGGTGTATTGTGCTAAAGCTTGTTAAGCTTTGAGCTGCTATAGCTTCTCCATTTACAATTGTCTACAGTGCCTCGTGTGTGTGTGTGTCTTCTTTATCTATCCCTTACCACTTGTACATAGCCCCCAGAGAGAAGCATAGTGAACATAGACATTGTGGTCGTAGCATTTACAGTACACAAGGCTGGGCAGGTGAGGTACGCAGCACTCTGGTGTCACTCAGTTGTTGTTATTGTGAGCACCAGTATGGGACTCAGATTGGTCTCCTAACTTCTTTCTCCTCTTGCTATGAACTTTAATTTTATTTATTTACATTTTTTTTTTGCAAGTTTTTCTTTCACGGACGAACCTGTGCATGGCTGATGGGATGTAGGTGTAAATATACAGTACTGGAACTTTTGTACATCTTGATTGGTGATAAAGACTGAAGATCAAGGCTAGCGATGGTGTAAAAGGCTGAATATCAAGTCTAGTGGATTAGTTGGTTCTTAGTTCTATTTTCTCCCTTTTAAAGCTAATGCATGGCCATTGGATTCCTGCCTTGGTTTGACAGTGCTTTTTATTTTTCTTTTGTCTAATAAAATTATACATCTTTTCTCCGCCAAGAGGAAAGATATTTGTCATTCTTAAATTCGTAAGCCTTGTGGTATGAGACTAGTAGAATAGTAGCATGGCTCATACTGGAAGCTTATATCTCAAAAAAGGTGAAGTTAACATAACGATTCAATTTCATTTATAACTTGAAACTTAATAAAAAGTAAAATACACTTACTCTTTCATGCATGTGCTCAAGTGGTGGGTTTAAAAGATAAATTGAACCGAATTTGTGTTGTCAGAGCATGACTAGTGAGGGAGTAAATAATTCAGTACAGTAAATGTTAGCATATTCCTCATTGGTGACTGGGGGAGGGGGGGGCTAAGGAAGGTGAGGGGACCCCCACTTGAGCCTGTGTGGTACAGGTTTCCCTCCGTCTTACTCCGGCGTTGGTGTCTCTTTACAGGCGTGCGTGTGTGCATGCGACGATATCGTAACCCAATTTGACCCTGAGCGTGTGCTAACAACTGTCCACTTCCTTGTCAACCCCTCTGAGTCCCTGTTATTAACCAAGTCCAATGGCGTGGTTCTGGATAGTTCTGACCCTCGTGCCCCTCAAATGGTCACCCTAATGGAATTCCAGACCTGCCAATGGGACAACAGGACTGCAGTACATTCGCAGCCCCTCAAGGCAGCGGACCAGCGTCTTTTGTCCTATGCACTGCTGTGTATTTTCCTGGCCACTCTTGTGTTACTGTACATGTACCCACCCCCTGATGAGTAGACCCACAATCCTTTCTAACATAATAGAGCTTTCCAAACAGAATGACAATATTAACAGCGAGCAGCTACAGGACTAATTAGTCCCGTGAGAAGTATATTATGCCTTGCTTCATTTTAGCTGCTACTATGCACTTATTAACTTGTAAATACAATGGTTTAAGTTGTACATACTTGAAGGGAAGGAAAGTTGTACCCAATTCATTAAGCAACTTTTTTTTTTTTTTTTTGCGTATTTGAGAGATTTCATCATTTTTCTGCTGTATTCTCGGTTAACTTTCATATGCATAAAGTATCTTTTTAGTTAAATTGATTTGCAGGCATTGTTGCTTTCATATATCTGATTTATCATCCACATAGTTGTATATATATTTTCATGTTCTTCTTAACATCTAAAGTGTTTTCGAGCATACTGCAGCCTCTGATTTTTAACTGTTACAAATTCATTTTGCAACTGTACAAATAAGATCTATTATTTTTTATTTGTGGCTTTCATATTTCAAAATGTTTAAAAATAGCAAAGTAAATATGAAGTTAATTCCTAGGCAGGAATGATATTGCACATCAATCAAGCTACTATGAGAACACACCTATGTTACCACATACTGCAATGGTTTTGCATGATAGTTGAGCAGCTATAGTGACACTAGAGGCTTCAGGGTTAGAGTTCTTCTGACTCTCATTTGTTATCTAAGAACTTTTCCTATCACGGCTCATATGAAACCTTATTTACTTGGTTTTCTACAAAACATATCACTAATCACTTTACAACCACATAGCCAGTTTTTTCTGTGTGAACATTAATGAATTGAGAATAATTGGGGCTTAGTCATTCCGCCTTAGCCCAAGCTTGAACTAAGGGCATTTTACTAGGAGGGGAGCAGGTGAGGCGGTGCTAGTCACTCCTTGAAGCTCATATCAACCAGAAAATGTCAGTGGCATGTGGGAAGTTATCATTCAAGAAATTAAACACAGAGGCTTTCGAGGCCATACTGTATGACCTCCGTTATCAGAAGCCTACTCGATCCTATCTTTGGGGTATCCAGCCAAAATCATGTTAAGATAATTTTCTAGCAAAATTTCACCATATCAGGACAGAAATCTGAATAACCAGAGTTTTGGCCGGATAACACAGACTGGTATAGAGTCAAAGTCAAATCCAGATAATTTTCTGGCAGCACTTTGCCATATCTGGATGGTAATCCGGATACTTGGAGATCAGGTTAAGTCAATTTTCAAGAACTACACATTTCAAGATCTTCAGTATCAAACAGTAAGATGAACTACAATAACCTAAGCTGAAGTTTGTTTTAAATTATGGTACTGTATATTTGTTATTTATAGTGTGTGGAAATTTGAATTACTGTATGCTGATTGCGGTACAAAAAAATTGCAAATATGTTAATTTTTGGACTTTCCTGCTAAGAATTCTGCTCATCTGGTGAGGGGTTCTTCCCATGTAGTCCACACAAGGGAGCTCAGACTGTATACACCACCTGTGTGAGACCATTATTGGATTATGCAGCTGTGGCATAGAACAGCTACGAGGGTGCATAAAAGAAAACTTTAGAATGTATAGAGGCTTGCAACTAGATTAGTACCAGAATTGAGAGGGCTCGGCTATGAGTACAGGGTAAGGGAACTGAACCTTACAATCCTAGAGGAGGTTATCTTGAGATGATTTCGGGGCTTAGCGTCCCTGCGGCCCGGTCCTAGACCAGGCCTCCTTTTTGTTATACATTCCCCAGGAAGCAGCCCGTAGCAGCTGTCTAACTCCCAGGTACCTATTTACTGCTAGGTGAACAGGAGCATCAGGGTGAAATAAACTGCCCATTTGTTTCCACCTTCACCGGGGATCAAACCCGGAACCTCAGGACTACGGATCCGAAGCGCTGTCCACTCAGCTGTCAGGTCCCAAACCTGACATTATGTAGGAGATAAAGAATGGGGCATATAATTACTATACATATTGTGATATTTTTATTTATTTTTTATTTTTTATTTATATATACGAGAGTTCTTACATTCTTGTACAGCCATTAGCATGAATAGCGTTTTGGGCAAGTCCTTAATCCTAATATTCCCTGGAATACGACCCGCCAAATCGTTTAACAACCAGGTACCCATTTTACTGTTGGGTAAACAGAGGCTACAATTATGGATTGGCGCCCAGTAAATCCTCCCCGGCCAGGATACGAACCCAAGGCAAAGTGCTCGGGAAACGCCAGGCAAGTGTCTTACCACTTCGCCATGGGAACTGCAAATATACATTATGGCTTCTCAAATATATATACTGTATCATCAGCTCCGTATTGACTGATATTTTAACCCATGAAAAAGTGTGGTTCACCAGGAACAGCAGAACACCACATATAATTGTTGGCCCAATGCTGTTTACATTCACACTAGTCAATATCTTCATAAGGAATTCTAGTGTAACTGGGAAGGGGTCTGAAACTTTGCTTCTGTTGCAATACCCAACGTATGGAGCTTGTAGAATGGTGGTAGGTAATACATATAACCCAGTGAAGTAGGGTGAGAAGCCGGAAGCATTTGCTACTTTGCAAATCAAGCTTCGTATATATTACCTATTGTAGTTCGTCATTTAACTAGTAATCTCTGTATTAAAGACACTGTATTGAGAGGTTGAAGGTATATCATCTGCTTAAAATCTTCTTAAGAG